AGCTTGGGAGAAAAAACAATTATATAATATATATAATGAAATTTTTCCGTGTATGAACTGCGCGCTAGCCGGGTGCGCATTGGGTTCTGGCACTTAAACATTATTGCGCATGAGTGTGAACGCCGCCGGTATCCAGAGCTCGCGCCCGGTGGGCCACAGTGGCTTCTCGTCCTCGCGTGTGAAGTTGGCGGCTGCTGGAATGTGGCGTCCCTCACCTTCGTGTGCGCCTCGTTCGCCTCCGTGCCTGGCGCGCGCCGCCTGTCCGGCGGCCGGCCTCGCTTTGCGCGGTTGAGGCCGTGCACATAGTGTGTATAGCGCCGGCGGGTTTACTTGAGAAGAGTTTCCTTGTAGTGTTTGTGTAGATCTGAACTGGTGAGTACATAATTGCCTGTTCTGCTTCTGTCGATGTTTGCTGTCGCCGCTTTTTGGAAACATTCGCATTCGGATAAAATACTTGCTGTCGTGTCCAGCGCGCACCCTTTGCGCATTCATTACGCCTGGCATATGTAAATGTTGCCTCCGTGATGAATATACACCGTTGCCTTTGGTAGTGGAACTTGGTGTCGTATGATTGCATTGATCCCGTATGATATGAGATTGTCCCGCGCCCATGTCCAAACACCTCTTGTGCTTAGTGCGATTTTTTTGTATATGTTTTCCGCTGGCACCTGATATCACTTGGCGAGTATGTTTTTCGGATGCAAAAATGGTGCGCATATACTTGAACATACATTTAGGCCGTCGGCAAAAATGGTGCTCAATGGAACATACATCCTTTCAATTTTTTTTGTTAGGGCATTCTTTTTGCACATGGAAGAATTGCTTGGTGTATATGAGTCATGCGTTGGCACATAGTCATACATTCACTGCTCAGATATATTACCCTGTTTACTTTTGAAACGCATCCGCTTTGCTGGTCAATGTTCGCTCGGCTTGCATGTTTTTGTATGATTTATGTGCTTGCGTGCCCAAACGTGCATGTTCTTTGCTACCAAGTGTGGTCTCTCTGACAATTGCTTTCTGTGTGCCTGTCATGACCCTCCAAACTCGGGGGGGTCAGCGCAGACCATTTTAGAAACCTAAATCTGGCAAATGAGGCTCAACCTGGGAAAGGCTGTGTAGAATCAAGGGCACCAAAAGAATGCATGTATAGTATAGAATCCAAAAAAGAAGTGGCAAACCAATAATCCACAAACAAGCGCAAAACCTTTTCAAACCTAAAATCGTAGGACCCGAGTTCCAAAAAATTGAAAACATTGTCTTCCCGGTCGCAGAGGGAGCGCTGCCCAGCCGCGTCGGTCCCCCCCTGACGCGCCCTGCTTGTCCCACCCGCCACCCGCAAAAGACGGCCGCTGCATGCAGCTGGTTGCGGAAAAATATATGTTTCTGTTTACACCCTCCTGTGGTGTGCCAGGCTCCTTAGATTGAAAACTGCAGTGCCCTTGTCCGAACTCCAAAGGGTTTTGGAACACAAGATGTCCGAGTTTAGACAGGTTATTCGCAGAAAGGTTTTTGGTGTATAACCTATGCGTTCGTCCTTACGTGCACTTACTGTTTGGTTCGGTGATGCTATTCCTTTTAAATTTGTTGTCATCAAATCCCAGGGATCTTTTGCTATTGGTGTTGTCAGGTGGGGTTAATTTCTTCATTGTAAAACAAGGGGTGAGTGCTTTAGCTAATGTTTCGCAAAAATTCCACATATATCAGATAGATATATATATATATTTTTTGTTTTTTTGTTCTGAGTGCATGAGATCGGAAAAAATCTGTAAAAATCAGCTGGTGTCGGCAGAATGTGTGATGCTGCACGTGGCTCAAGCCCTGTGCAATCCGCCGTTTGCTAGGATTACAGATTGTCCGCCACCGCAGGCTGCCACCATTGAGGAAGACATGAAACAAGTATGAATGGCAGCACCAATGCTTGAACAACTGCTCAGGTGGTTCGACATGACACAGCTGCCCGTCAAAAATACATTCATCGAGGCTGGCATGATTGATGCAGTAGTCGAAGTCAGCAGTGTGAGGTTTCGGCACAGCCTTCAAAACCGCGAGGTGAGATCGCAGGATCCGATTATTGTACGACCCCGGGCACAAACTGTTGAAGTGGTTGGCAGCCCACCGTACCTGGCCAGCAGGGACCTCAATTTTCAGTCTGTAACCTGTTTTGGTTCTTGGGACGCGTTTGCAAAAGATCATGGTTCGTTTTTTTCGGTTGTGCGACCAAGGTTCATGTGAGGTTGCTCCTGCACCGGTAGCACAAGTGAGTGCACCAGGCCAGCATCTCAGATAGACATTTGGGTGTTTGGTTGCCGCAACCCGGTCACCTTGCAGCCTGCTTAGAGGCACATAGTCACGGCACTATGTTGCATCCATTGGTTTCAATTGCCTCATTTTCAAGTCTTATGCGTAGCTTTGATTAAAATTTGGATAAGACGGATAGGTTGGAACAACTTGTTTTTACTAAACCGCTTTGCAACTTTAGGTTTTCCGGCAGTCACAATCGACTCCAAAGTTCGCGCACCTCAAGGCCAGATCTGTTGACATAGAGTACTTAAGAAGGACCCCGTACACCAATGGGAACTCTTGAAACACTCGTGTGCGAATCTTGCGGCCCTTTTTCAATCGTGTCAAAGTAGCACTGTGTTCTTGCATAGAACCAACAAACACTCCAACACAGTGCTGCTCCATTTTTGTCCTCTAAAACCACCATGGAGGTGCTGCGGCGTGTGTGGTCTCCAGCGTTGAGTCTACAAGGTGAGCCGAGTTCGTCACTGCCGGACCGTGTTCAATTGCATCCACGGTTTTCCCAGTTGCCCGGGTTGAAATGGAAGACCTCCCGTTTTTGCACTCTAGGTTACTGGAAACCTCACGCTTTGGAGTGTTATTTTTTCTTCGGGGGAAGTAACGCAGGGCTTCATGATGTGTGCAGCCATGGTGTGGCTAGGGCAAACCGGAGGATAGACACGTATATAGCAGGTTCGGTTTCCATTCCAACATTGTCAAAATACACTTCACCATTCGCTTGGTTTCGTTTCCTTCCAGTTGTAGGGCGCTTGCGGGTGTCAAATGGAATGATAGCTGAAGGGGCTTAGAGATTGGCAAAGCAAATGCTGCCTGGACTTTTTGGGCTAATCCTCAAGAACATGTACAGCCTGAGCCCCAGATCGAGCCAACAGAAACAGTTTTTTGTATGTCCAGCCAGCCCCGCTGAGAGAGAGTGCGTGAGACTGCTGGCAGGAGGTGCTCGGTGACCAGAACTCCAGATGTTCAGGGCTGAGAAAGAGCTCCGCCAGCCAGACCCTTCATGTTGGCAATAATGGGAGATGGACGACTAAAGTTATTGATGTTTGCACTAGCAAGGCAGAATGCAAGATGTCTCTGAACAAAGACATACTGTATGTTTCCCCACGAACTTTGTTTGCCGATGTTTTGTGATGAGGAGTGTTTGTACTGATTCGTACTGTAGCCCGCAGGGATGCACATCCAAAATGGAATGCTCATTGCCTCGGGTTTTCCGATCGATATGAACAAGCGCGAGAGAGGTCCTGTATGCACGAACGCCTGTGGGCTCCATTGTTGCAGAGCCGCCCTTTGCATTTGCTCTACCACAGGTGCGTCCGTCGAGTTGCAAGGGTGAAGCCGCAGTGGTTCACTATGACTGCAGTCCTGCACAGGCCGTGGAAGACCTTGCAAGACGTAGGTCGGGGCCTGAAGCGTACCATTGTATGTTTCCCAACATTCTTGATCTTGTTGTATTTTGTCGCAGGACAAGCACCTTTGGCACAGAGGCCGCCCGAGTGCAGACTGGTTCGGACCTTGGTTCATATCTTTGGGCATCGCAACCTTGCTGGCAGATGCTGCAAGCGCGGTGTGCTTGGATGAAGTCTTTACTGCGGTTGCATTTCCATCATGTAGATGGTGGCCGCACACCGAACAATGGGTAGTAGTAGTGTGTGTGCATCCAAGATTTGCGGAATAGCTCAAGTTCTCTCTGTCGGATACTTCCTTTGTTTCACGCACATCATGCCCAGCCCGTGCTTGTGACTTTTGCTTAGTTTGGTTGCACGCTTTGGGTGCGGGGTTAATGGGGCTCATCCGAAGAATGGAGCAAAGGCTGCCTGTGGAGGCTTAGGGTTTGCTAAAAGCAGCATCTCAGGAGCAAAAGTGCAGGGGTCCTATGGACGTGTGCGTTCAATGTTGGTGCGCAGGGCTCGTGTTTCACGTTGATGTGGGTATTCCTTGTGCGCCAGAGAAAAGAGCCTAGCTGTTTGCATGTATTTGTTGATGTTTCCCGGCATCAGACACTCCGGGACACTCTTGCTGCTGGTTACAGAGGGGCTTCAGCCCACAGGATGTACCAACATGAAGCCAAACAGCTATGCAGTGGACACCCTTGAGGCCACTCGTCAGCGACGAGAAGAAGCTCCCTGGAGACCATCCCGGCCACGTGTGCAGCCTCAGACTGCGAGCCTGCTGGTATCTCTACAAATTCAGAGTGCAAGGACTTACACTCCCTGGAAATGGAAGTGGACAGCACCAGATTGTAGAGGAAGATGGTCTTCCAGCTAGAGACTTTCCAGCCCCCTTTGAGGCTGATGCGTTCCCTTTTTAAGGCATCATTCCTGATCTATATATATATATATGTATATGTGATATGGTTTTCAGTTAAGCCGCCCCAAACCAGGGTCATATATCAGGCTGGACAGAGGCCGGCCAAGCATTCCGTGGTTTTCATGTCCATAGCATTTTTCGAAAAGACATCTAAGGCCTGACATGTACTACAGCTGGCCACCGCCGCAGGGCGCTGCTCCACCCGTCCAAGCCTCAGATGTTGAGTTGTGTTGATTTGCGTTTGAACAAGTCACATTCAGTCACATTCACGGATTTGCTTGTTGGTCCCGGTGCCAGGTCATGGTTCTCCCAAGTCCAGTACCAGAAGGTTCAACTCAGGCACGTGGCTCCAACATGAGTTCCAAAAGCCCTAGTCAAGCAAAGGCGCCATGGAGGTGTCGACCATGTTGTTTTTTTCTCGGCAGGTTGGGCATGCTCTGGCACCAATGGCAGCCCCGCACGGAATGCCAATTCTCCAATGCCCTCCAGGACAAGCGCCCTGCCAAGTTCACATGCCAATGCCAATGTCAGAGGCACAACCAATTGCTCATTCAGTGAGCGCCCAATACCCGGGAATGGGACAGCAATTTGCACATCCACCGCCTGTCCAGTATGGAAGCCAAATGCCTCTAGCCACTTCATGGGATCCACAGATGCATTACATGCCGCCAAGTGCGCTGCCTTCTCAGCTGGAGCCAGCCGGCAAGCCTCAACTGCAGAAGCTGCCTGCATGGCAGCCAGCAGCTCCAGCGGCCGCCAGCAAGTTCCCAACACAGCCCCCACAGCAGGTCTTGGTGCTCTCAAACTTTTTACAAGAGGTGCCACCACAAGTGGAGTGTCATTTCAGAGATGTAGACACGTTTTTCAAGCCTGTGCTCCGGCTGTGGAAGGCACCAAGAAAGCTGGAGGCACAGTTTTGAGCTCGGCCATATCTATCTTGTTCCAATGCTGTTTTGACGACAGTTCCACTCAGGTTGCCAGCGGAGGTTCAAGACACTTCGCAAGCTGGGGGAATTACAACGTGGGGCGCTAACCTGGCTTGCGGAAATAAGTGTGCACTTCCATGATTGTTAGAACAAAATAATCTTCCACTTCCATGAATGTCTGAGAGAGAGTAATTGATCAGTGGTGCCGGAACACCTATGTCTGCCCAGGCTTATGCTGCGAAATATTCCGGTTCGCGCCTCTGCACATTTCACCAGCTGTGCGTTACATCTTTCACCCTGCGCACAACCCAAAGTCATGTTTTTGGTTTCTCCTTCCGAGGTTACTTTCAACCGAGAATCCCTTTTGGCTGATTTTGATGTCCGAGCCCCAGATGAGCAGAAGAAAGCACAGAACTGAATTCCCCCTGGCCATGTTTCACCAAATGGAAGAAGGCAAAGTATTCCCAGTGCAGTGTAAGCTGACATTAAAGCAAACATGCTGCCTGGTGGTGCCCTTTGGTTTGACCATGCAATTCTCCTCAATCACTGATACTACCTGGGTCCGCCAGTTCGGTTTGAGGATAGAGAGTGCCGTGGTATGTGCAGATCAACTTGACACCAAGGCACGTGGCTTCCGTGGTGTGGATCTCAATAGGGAAGATTGGAATGAACCGTCAATGGCTGCATCTGGGACAGTGACCAGTGCTTTTGATTGGTTTGGCACTTTCTGGATCTTGGATCCCACCCTGATGGAGAGATGAGAGTGAAAAGGCTGAGAGCTTCGAGGTCAATATGATTTCTTCTACTTGCCCATTGACTTCCAAACCGACAACAACCTCGGGTGCCTGGGAGTTTGCGTAGAGTGAATTGCTGCAAATTTGTCGCACATGTTGCCGTACAGCCACTTGGTTTTCGAGAAAGTTGGGCTGTGGCCCGAGCACGGACACAAGGAGATCAGCAGAAACTTTCTTTCTTGTGGGGCTTTGTTCTTCAGATACTTACTCCCTTGACAATCGGCTATTGGTTGGTCACTTCCCTTACAAGAGGCTGGTCTCCAATGTGGCAGGTATGCGTTCGTGAACCTGGTGACGCCCATGTCAGCCGAGCGCTTCCGAAGCACCTACCAGGGTTTGGCCTTGGCGGGGGATCGGAGCAAGAAGATCTGTGCGGTGGCACCAGCCACGACCCAGGGAAGGCACGGTCAAACACTTTGGACATTTTCATGTCCTTTTGTGAGCAAATGTGAGCAGTGCTTGGGCCTTTTGATGTGTTGTGCTGAGCTACAGTAGATGCATCCTTTCCCCTGTTGCACATGGGTGCCAGGGCTGCAAATGTGGAGTACTATAGGAACAGCAATGTTATGAGCATGGAGGACAAGTGCCCCAACTTTGCTTTGACATCATGGCCGTGAACCAGGCGGAGCAGCCACGTCAATTTTCAGGTACCAGCCTGTTGTGTTCGAGAATGGGATGCGGGCGCGGTTTCCTGCACCCACCAAGGCAGGGCCTTTCAATGCGGTTGGTCCACACCCCAAACTTGCCACAAGACAAGGGCAAGCGTGTTTCGCATGGATGTCAGTCTTGTGCACCTGTTCACAGGCTGTGAAGCCGATCCGCTACCGAGAGAGCAGGGGCGTGGTTCCAGAATGATTCTGAAGCGGGGCACTCAGTTGGTTCTGCCGCATCAGTGGCCGCATTCTGGAACCACACGATCTCAGTTTCGGGTTTGCTGTTTCAAGTGCGAGGTCATCGGTTCTCTGATCGATTGTCACAACACGTATCTGATATCAGCTTGATGGCCATCCGGTTTCTTGGGGAATGATGACCCTGGATGACGAAGGCTCCCAGATGAAATGAAGGAGGTCTCACCTGCAGGAGGAGTCAAGTTGTTTGTGACTCGTCCAGGGTCATCATCAACCTTGTTGGGGCGCTGGTGATCGGATTGGGGCAATGGCGAAAGGCCATGCCTGTGGCCATGCTGTTCAGCTTAGAACCAGACAAACCTAGAAGAAAGAGCTCATTATCATTAGCCGCTAGCCAAATTGTGCAGATGTGCTCAGGCTGGGTGGATACTAAAACGGGAGAAACCTTCTACTCACTACTCTTTGAACCTTCTGTGAGGGATTCCTGTAGTCCTATAGGTTTGTATTATATATAATCTAATATGTTGGTTGCTCATCCCTTTGGGAATGAAGTGGGTTCACAATCATGGCGTGGGAATTTCGTGCGTGTGGTCTTCATGTGTCCAGCATGCAACCATATAGGTGGCTTCAAGAACCACATTGGCTACATTGGTTTGCTAGTACTTTGCTTGTGTGGCCTGGATCATCCTTAGCAAGGTCAGGGTCCGATTCAAATGGAATGCCGGCTTGCTGGTGGGCGTGCAGCCTTCCAAATTCTTCGGTTAGTTTCACCATACCTCCACAATGGCGGTTCTCAACGCCGGGTTTCGAAGGAAGCAGGAGAAAAGTTTACATACCTACTATTTGTGATATGCCTTGATCCACTTGAGGGTGATCTTTCGTTGCGCAGAAGTGATTTTCTTTGACCGTGTGAGTGTCCACAACCGGATATTTTTCCGCAGATTTTCTATTCTCTGGCCGCTTGGTTTTAGAAGCAGGCCCGAGGAAGGCTATATATAGCTTATATAACTACAGTTTGTGTTAGAATTTGTGTGAGGGCCCCTCCTGCTGCCCCTGCTGAGCACAAAGCTAATTTCAGGATCCGGTGACCGTCCGGTTACCTCCCAAAAGCTCCGAATCACGTGGTCCTTCCACATCTCTTCCGCCCTTCACCGTGCCATGGAGCCTGACAGAATGGAAGGGACGGGTGTCAAGGGACAGAGAGTCCTCTTTGATGTTCTGAAGGAACGATCTTCGGCGTCCTTCCATCGACATGTCCAGGACACCAAGCCTCCCGGCTGTGCCTGGCAGAGCCTCGCGATGGCCTTGCACAACGGATTTGGGCACCAAGACGTTGACAAGGCCTCGAAGAGCGGGGAGCTGTTGGAACTGGAGCGCGAGCTGCGGAGGTTGTTGGTGCACAGCTACCAAGCACTCTCGCCAAAGGAACTGAGGTTTGTTGCAGAAGCAAAGCTGCAATGTGAGCTTTCCTTCTTTAAGCACGCTGGATATTTAGAGGTCGAGGAGACACTACAACACTGGAAATGGTATTTGTACTGTTTGACATTTGACAGCCACTCATTCACTGAGAGCAGCCTTAAAGGCTGGAGTGTAGTCCCAAGGACACCCCTCAAGGGCGCTTTTGTAGTTCGAATGCCGTTGGACTCGGTGGATTTGGCCATTTTTGCCCAGCTTCTTGATGTGCAAATTCTCCTTTTCCAGCTCTTTCAGCCCGCACTTCGCTTTGGAGCCGGAGAGACTTTACACTTGCTCACTCATGGAGGCTTGTGGGCACCACTTCTATCCTCCAAGCAATGGCTACAAGAAAAATCAGACTTGTGTGGCAGCGTCGTTGAGATCGACCGCCTCGGGGGCCCTTTGGCACATTTGGCAGGGAAGAGCGCTTGTATTCTCAGCTATGATGTGGAGAACGATTGTCATATAGCTGCGACATGCAATACACGATTCCCATTGAAGAGTGTCCAGATTAGTCGCATCCTTGCACGACCTGAGGACGGATTAGTCACTCACGGACGCTGCGTATCCCGCATGCGAGGGACAGCTTTTCGTGGCATTCCCGACTCCTCCATAGACTTTCAAATCTTGTCGTATCTCATCCGCCTGGATGTGGGACAGAGATTGGACGACTTGCATGAAGAGCTGGCAGGTCGATGCCGGCGTCCGGTGTCGGACTACTGCACTCCAAATAAACATGTGCCATCTGGTCATCCCAACGAGCTTTGTACGTCCACATTGCCTTTGCAACAGGTTCTTGAGATGCTCTCTGAAGGTACGAAGGTTTGGACGAAGTGCCTTGCTGCCGTTGGCCCTAAGCGAGACAAGGCAGCCGAATTCTTGACCTGCCGGATCCAGGATTTCATTTGCTTGGAGAAAGCTTTGGATGAAGATCCTTTGGCTTTCTTGGCTCATACCGCTTCAGACCCACAAGCCAAGCAAATCTCCATGGATATCGTGTGCTCCTGGCTGGTGCTTGAAGACTATCTTCCACGCCAAGCGCATCCCAGATCCCACGAGCTCCTGGAGCTTCGCGAAGGTGATGCGGTCCTTGTGTCGGAGCGGCAGACGGCCAAGTGGCACGGCTGGGCCCGAGGACGACGGCTGCAGACGAGCGAGGAATCGCGGAAGAAGGAAGGCCTCTTTCCGATGGCAGTTCTGAGACCTCGTCTTTGGATTGCAAAGATTGAGAGCAGAAAGGAGCTGCCAAATAAGTCTGATTGAACATGATTGAACAATGTACACGAGACACCAAGACACAATCGTTGCTTGCTTTGGAGATCCAGGTTCGAGCAGTTTGGACCGGCTCGTGTAAGTCTCAGCGTCAAATGCTGCAAATATCGATCAGTATCTCAATCATAGCTTCAACATGCTTCAACATTTGTCCCGATGTTTACAAACATATCACTTGAGGTTCCTGCATCGCTCCTAGAGGAAGACCAGTCTATCATGCAAGCTCATTCATAATTGCAGTAACAGGCCGCTTTGAACCGCGGTAGATGAATCAGCATGGCAGCGCCCGCACTTGCGCTCCTGAAGAATGCTGATGGTTATGAAGATGTGGTGAAGTCCTCAGTCTTTGCGGGAGGCTGTTCAACAGCAGAGCAGGACAGTTTCGGTGCTCAGATACCTGGATTCTTTATTGCTGCGAAAGTGTTGTTCACAAGCGGCATAGTGGTGAAGTGCATGGGTTCGCCCTTCAATGAACATGCAAACTCCACGGTCTTTTGTTGTTTCTCCGTTTATTTGTTTGGGTGCTTGTACTTATGACTTATGCGAGCTTCCTGATTTCAAATCATTTCAAGTGGCAATATCAATATCCTCTTGATTTGTCTTGGCTGGAGGCTGCCAGGGTAAAGCCTTCTGCCGAAGCTGCATGGGACAGCATTTGTGCAACATCTCAATCATGTGTAGGATGCTGTCGGTGTATCGACCTGTACCTTCAATCTCCCATTCTTCATGAAAGCAGCAGTTTGACAACAACTCATTCTACCATCCACAGTGCTTGAGAGAGTGCCCGTTGTGCCATTGAATACCCAAATCCAAGTCAGTGTGGTCATTGAATTCCCTTGCAGGACATCCCGAGTGGCAGCCTTGTCGAGCTTGTGGAGGAAGTGCCCAGCGTTTGAACCACAAGTGATGTGAAGAAGTTTTCCACTGCAAGAGGGGCAGGCACAGAGTAGCACTGAAACTGCCCTGACTTTGCAGTTCTGATGCTTCCCCCAGGCCCGAGTATTGATTTCTACAGTGCAGTTCCGGGCATTCTGCTTTTCTATGATTTTGTTCTTTTTGGTTTCTTTTTGGGGGACTCCATGGCCGGTGTAGGACAAATACTTGATTCCCTGCATGGCTTGACAGGACTGGGTCGAGTGTGAGTCTGGCAAGCTCCGAGGCTCCGCTTCTCAGCTGTTGATTAAACGGAGTAGGAACAAACCGAATGGAACCCCAGAAACGGAGGATCGACCACTGGGCTCACTAGACCACAAGACCCACCCCCAACTCATTCACCCGTTCAAGCAGCAAGAAAGAACAATCAAACATTTGTGCTGATGTTCACGCTGGCTTGGATAGAGGGTTTCAGCCTGTTGGAACGCAGGCTTTATCAAAGGCAAGAACTTGCCGGCGGTTGCATCAAGCAACCCTGGGGACTGGTTGGAGGCAGAGGATTCTCAGTTTGTTTTGGGTGGAGCTTGATCAGAGTGTAGAATCAGAATATATACTCATACCACCTAGTTGTTCACAAGTTTCAACTTGAGAGTGCCTCAGCTGTCTTTGTTTTTGATGGCCTTGCATGATATGTATTGCTCTGGAGGTGCGTGACAGCTATGCAGGCCATGGAGCCGGCTTCCCTTTTTCCATGTTGTGACTAGTTGCTGAGGTCGTGGTGACACCTGTATATAGCATTGTGCAACTGACAGGCAACACAGAAACCTGCATGCGCCGTCATGCAGAGCAAGATGCCTCCAAAGGCGGAACGAAAAGGGCTTTCACCTGGCCCGGTCGAGCAGAGAATGTATTGCTGCGATGTTTTCGGAAAGCAAAGGAGGTCCCGTGCCCCTTTCCAAGCTTTGTATTGTGTGTGTAGCTGTGTGCAGGCAACGTGGTGTGCTTCGTCCCAAATGGGGCGAAAGCTGTTAAGCTTGTGGAAAGATGGGTTGAGTGCAGGCCAGTTGGGGAATCAAACGAAGAATGACTCGATCCTTCTGCTTTAGTCGTATGGATCAGGTGGCGTGGTCACAAAAACTTTGTGAAGGCAAGGCATGTGAAGCCTGCTCCAGCTGGGGCGACATTGGAGACCGAGCCTTTGCTTCATCATTTCGATTTCTTCATCAAAGCTAGGGAGCTAAAACCAACAACTGCATACTTGAATGGCAGCTGTTCTCAAGTTCAACACCTCTCCTTCTCTCCCTCTCTCTCTCTCTCTGTTTGTGTAACTTTGTCCTCTGGAAGAGTGAAGTCACATGACCCGGCCTTGGTGTGGCTGGCCACGCAGAAGAAAGAGAGAGAGAGAGAGACAGAGGAGATGTAATGTATGTATCAGAAATGGTTTTGACTCTTGGCGGGCTTCCCCAAAAGGATGATACCTTGGGTGCTGCGGCGAAAGGACGAGGAAGCCCAGGCTGGCGGAGTGCCACGCCATGCATCAAGCTGGTAGACCCGTAGCTGCGTCCCTGAACCGGGAGGCAAAGCCAGGGGTGCGCCGGGACCAAGTCTGAGCGAATCACCAGCCAAGAAGCTGAAGACAGGCCTCAAAGCCTCAAAGCTTCAAAGCCTAAGCCAGCTGGCCACCAGCTTGCCAGTTGGAAGTCGCGCCTGAAACGCGCTGCCGCAGGTGATGCTCCGCGGCCGCCATGTAAGCCACGACCTTAGGTGATGCTTATCGTCGTGGGAAATTGGAATGCCTGCTGGACTGGCTGGTTGAGGTATGGTGCTGGGTGCTATCAGAAAAATCCGGTTCACCGAGCAAAGTTTCTTGCTCTGCAGTCGCCTGTTTGGTCGTTTCCAATGCGGTTAACTCTCACAGAGACTTTTGCCTGTGCAAAAGTCAAGCAGATTCGTTTATGGATTGTAGGAGACCTAGCAAGCTTCAGTGTTGGACCAAAATGTCGCCGCACTTCTCTTCCCCAGACTGGTTCGCCACTGTAAGAGCCTGTCAATGTGTGCAGCCGCCAAGTTTACGCAGTGGTGACGGTATTGATCAAACACGTGCGGTGAACTTGCAGAGCTCTCTGAGGTTTTCTCACCCGGGTGACCCTGACTTTGGTGGAGACGGAGGTGCAACATCTTCGTCCTCCTCGAAGGGGCCGGTGCATCACCCTAGTGCCGAAGCGGCCGCCGTGGCCTCCTCTGGGAAGCTGGAGGAGAAGGAGGCGAAAGAGACGTCAAAAGATGCAGAGATGGTACCAGTGGAGGGGGATGACAAGCCTGAGAAGCCTGAAGTGCTGGAGAAGGCTGCAGAAGCGCCGGCAGCGCCTGAAGCCGAAGACGGTGTGCCTGAGGCGGATGTGGCCATGCCGGCGGCGCCGGCCCCTGCTGCGCCGGCCCCCACTGCACCGGCGGCCCCAGCTGCGCCGGCGGCCCCAGCTGCGCCACCGGTGCCAGCGCCAGCAGGTGCTGCTGGTGCGGCAGAGCCTGCAGCACATGCAGAATGCCACCTCCTCGGCTCCAAACCCAAGGATCGCTTTTAATGTCGCTTGGTGTTTGAGTCAAATGACTGAGGTCGAGATTGTGACTGTTGCTTTGACAACGTCCCAACAACCGATGGAATTGGCTGCCCTTCGGGCGAGCACTTCTTTTGCAAGGGCTGCATGGCCAATTTCCTGGTCGCGTTCAAGACTGCAGACTATGCAGATCAAAAGATGCATGGTTGTAGAATCATGAATGGATGCTTGATCTTGTGAGGTTGCGCATGGTCACATATATATATATATAATCATCCTCGAGTAGATAGAATACGGAATTGAGCCGCCAACGTACCTTCCGTCATTTCAATTTCATATTCTAAGTACCTCGTTTTGACCCCCCAAAAAAAGTACATAGAATATCTCCGAGCGGATCAAACGAGTACTTGGAATATCGTGGAATGGTCTGTGGAAGATAGGGGACATAGGGGAGAAGACGGGAGAAGGAAAAGGGACATAGGATGCGAGCTCGCGCGCGCGCGGGTGTTTCGATTCGAGGCACGCGGGTGTTTTGATATAACCATCCTGAAGATGCTTTTGGGACCCCGATATTCCATGTATTATTACTTTTTTTTAGTGCCGCGGGATTGAGTTGTACCAAAATTCTATGTACTTCAGGATGGTTATATATATATATAATATATCTATATCTATGTGTGTGTGCATCAAGTAAGATCGCCCCTAGATTTGACCCTGCGCCCAGGAAGGCCAAAGGAAGGGCTCTATGTCCGATGAAGGACGTTGTTACATTGTTCCTTTTTTGTTCGGGAGCCGCGCAGCAGCTGTAGCCGAGCGGTGGTGAAAGAATATGAAAGACCTCGTTCGGGAGAGGCTTCGAACGTACATCACCATGCACAACTACCCGGTAACTACCCCTCCGAATGTACCTGATGGAGGATTTGATCCGTTTAGATAATGGTTTGATCCGCCCTCGCAGGACTCCGAGACTCCCTTTGGTGATTCGGTGCTCGCCGCGGTGGTGCCTCAGGACGGGAGATTCGGAGGGCCGGTGACGTCCAACGCGTGACACACGGAGGACGTCTTCGACGAGTATCTGCAAATTCGCATCAAGGTGGCCGAGCAAAGCATCCAGGACAGATTGGCTTGATGTTTTTCCATAGTTTTCCGCACTTGAGAGACTAAACTTTAACAAGCACTCCCACATACTTCCACATTTGATTGTTTGATTTTGGAAAGGTAGCTTTCGGGCCTAGATTTCTGGGATGCTCTATGTTCGCTAGGGTTTCTCAAGTTTCTTGTTCCATTCGGGTGAGCAAACGAGAGTCATGTGCGTTAAGGGACGGACGCCAAACCACTCCTTGCATCGGTTGTGCCAGGAGCACTTTGAAAAGGAAAACAGCGCCAAAATCGATGAGCTCAAGGAGAAGCTGGCGAAAGCTACCGGCAGTTTGGGATTCCAAGTGTGTGGATTCCATGTGGGTCAGAACGCACCCAAAAAAGCCTTTGCGCAGTGGAAGCTTTTTTATTATGTTGTATATACATGTCATGATTGGAGAAACCTCCCAGTTGGGTGAGTGCGCGTCACGACATGGAGATCAAACGGCTTTGATATTTTTGGTTCGGTTCATTAGGGGGTGGGTGGGTCAACAAAAAGTTACCACAAAAGCCATTGACTGGTACACCAGTACGGTTCACCGCTAGGGTTCTCGCGATCTATGCACTTTAGTGCTGGAGGTGAGCGAACAGGATACCATGCACTGGTGATGTTTTGATTGTTTGGATGGGTTGATGCCTGAGGCAGCGAGCAACTGGAGCTGGACAAGCACCGGCTCAAGGTCATAGACGAGATCTTCACTCTGAAATGCCCGAGGTGTGCGATGGCCTTTCTGGATTACGACAACTGCATCTTGCTTGCCTGGCTTTCCTGGCTTACTTTGCTTCAATGGGTATCTAACAGCCCTCACGCCCGACAATGTACCTACCAGTAGATCAGTAGATGATCTGGGGTGCTTGCTGTGAAACCTCTACTCTTTACTCGTGTGGGGGCAGCTTTGCTGACTTGATGGTGGGCTAGCTGCTAGCTGTTGACGATGTGAGGTAGTGCTATCACATGCGCTGCCTGCAAGTGCGGCTTCTGCTCCTACTGCTTGGAGGAGTTCCTTTACTTGCTTTGCAACCCGCAGTTTTAGATGGACGCAGTGCTCGTGTTTGGATCCTTGGTTAGGATTGCGGAAAGGATGCCCATCAGCATTTCTACAAGAACGGCAGCAAGTGTCCACATGAAGGCCGGGCCGAGCCGCTGTCGGAGGATCATTCAAACAACCCCAAGTGTGGAAACTTAATTGTGTTGTATATTTTCTGGTGGCAGCAAATTTTGGTGAGTTGGTAATGCAGAAAATATCAGAAAATGGTAGCAGCATCATTTGCATCAGTAAGGTGTTTGTGGAAGATGGCTATCAGAGCGGCATTGCGTGTTGGTTTTGCTGCTGATTGTTTTCTGCTTCTGTTGCTGCTGCTGCTGCCGCCCTCGCTGCTGCCGCCGTCGCCGCTGCTGCCGCCGCCGCCGCTAGGTTGCTGCTGGGCTGGTGGTGGGTTGCTGGTGGGGTGGCTGCTGCTGCTGCTGCTGCGGCGTCTGTGTCTCAGGTTTCGTGCTTGGTATGCTCAAATGACAACTAGTTGATTTTGGTTGATCTGGGGAGTGGAAGGTAAGGTTGTGGGGTTTTGGTGCGGGCGGTATGCACATGCATGCAGTGGAGATGCATTCGATGAGGTCCGATACACGCTGTTGTTGAGGTGGCCCACTCTTCATCGCGTACAATCTGTGGCAAGAGTACCAAAACCGACGCAAGGCGTTCTAAACCCACGTTTTGCAGACGAAAACGCGTGTCACCAAGCAGCAGGTCATGTGTTTGCTCCTTGCATGAAGCGTGCCATGAACCTTTTGCAGGAGCGTCTATTGTGTGAGTTCCTTGCGAGCCTGCCGGAGGACACCCGCAAGAAGGCAGGAGTAGGGAGACGGGAAGACGGAAAGACGCCCTGATGAACGGCGTTGCCGGTGTTGCCCGGACGCCCTCTCATCGACTTCGGCGAAGATTCCGCCAGGTGGCCGACTTGATATCTCCAGATGCAAAGGATCTGGGGATTGAGGTGCCCGAGGACCGGGGAAGAAGGGGTCAGAGGGGTTTATGCAGCCTAGCGTGGGAAGACGCATGGACAAATATTGAAGTGAACATTTGCTTTTCCTTTCATGTCATGTTTGCCCGCTACATCATGGTATGGAACCACAACATCAAGAAATGCAGTTGTGCACATGCTCTCATCGCTGCTTTTGTTTTTCTGTGTTTGTCCAGGATTTGACTGCGGCCAGTTTGGTGCCGGAGGCCGCGCTTGAAGCAACAGTATTTTTGGGTCCTTTTTGACATCTTACTGTTTCTGATGCACACTTCGCAGATGTTGAGGCTCATGGCATTCAACGTCTCAAAATCTCTGTGCCACAGAGGTGAGGAGCTTCTCATCTTTAGAGTATGATTCAAGCTGCTTCACACCTGTCAAGCGAGGCTCCGGCGCCGCTTACTGGAGCTGAAGAAAGACTGTCCCACTACAGTGGCACAGCGCCAAGGGGATTGAAGAAGACTGTGGAGACTGCTATTTGACTGGATTTGCTTCGTGTGTTTGAAGAGCTGCTTAGGAGCTCAAGATTCCTGACCCGAAGGAGAAGGCGTGGTGTCAAGCCCTGACTGCTTTCTTGTCCAGATGGACTGAGCTCGGTCAGCCTTGAGACAGGTTTGCGTGGGCGGCATTGGCTTCGGGGCAATTATGGCGTTCAAGGTGCGAGAAAGCATGCTCCGTTCGTAGCGATGCCGTAGCGTCGGATCGCTCCTAGTAGTAAGGCCAGGAGCCCCTAGTCGCTTCTTGTTACTAGTGGCTTGACAAACACCTCAAGATTCACATGTGCAATGTATCCCACCAGCGGGTTTGTAGAGAAACAAATCGTCCAGAGTCCAGGGGTTGAACACACATAGCTGTAGATGAGTTTGGTACTGGGTGCAATGACCCACTGCCAAATCAAGGAGAGCCTACAGCTTCCAACAGGTCGTTTTGACAGTCTTTTGGAGTGGAATTGACAGCGGTGGCCACTACTTTCCTTGAGGAACAGCCTTTGAGCCACGGTAATGATCCGCCCTCAGGCGCTTGGCACAGTGATGGTAGGTGGAAAGAAGAACTTGGCTGCTCACCTACCTGCAAACCATCCAGTGCGGTTGCTTAGACCAGAATTGGTCCACGTCACATCCAAAGCCTGATATTGTGATCATTGGTGATCTTGAGGTCAAGATCGAAGATGAGTGGGTTTGTTGCAGAGGAGTGCTGCCCTTTTGTGCTGAATCCCGCTGTGTGTTTGCAGTGCGTGGCAGGGTGTGCTTGTGGCAAATGAGACACGAGCATGAAGCGCATGTTGGGTAGGTAGGCTGGCGTGCAGGTGGGAAGAAGAGTGCCATTCCTGGACAAGGTTTCATCAAAGCGCGGCATGTGACCGGACCTCTGACGCCAGGGAAGAAGGCTCGTTGGAACTCCAGACAGCCATAGAGCGCTACTTCGAGAATTCGGCCTAGAGTGAACCCACTGGCAGTTCAACCGCGGTTTTCCAGAGCACGCTGTAGGGTGTTTAACTCACCCATCAACCAAGGCTGATCACCCTCTGCAGGATGGACTGTTGATTGGACCGCTCAATGGAAGGCCACCCTCTTGGAAGCCAATGGGCATGGCAGCGTCATGGTTCGGAAGAATGCCGTGCAGGAGCTCGCGTGCCATGAGCAAAAAGCTTGTGGTTGGTAGGCGAGGATCCCTCTCATGGGTTCGTTTGATTGACCGACAATTTGGCCGCACATATGATGCGGGCCCCTTCGCAGGACCAGTGTCCTAACAACAATATGGGCTGGTTCATTGAAGATTGATTGTGGGAAAGGAACCCTAGGCCCTAAGCCCTAAGTATGTGACTGCAGATAGCTGCCACCGATGGCAGTTAATTCTATATACAGTGTGTAAGCGGTGGAACAGCTTACAGGTGCTCAAAACACAAGAGCTTCTAGCTAACACGGGCAAGTTGGGATGGCACGGCAATCCTTCAACGCCCAATTGTTTTCTCGCTTTGATCCACTCTTGACTGAGTCGGTTCACGGACTCTGGCACACAGTGTTCACACTGCATGCCCCCTGCTCTCTTTGCAGCCGAGGTGCTGCGAGCATAAACTCGATTAGCGAAAAACCAGGAACACGCGAAACAAGAAGATAAAACGGAGGTCCAAAAACACAAAGAAAGACACGAAAGGACGAAGTTCGGAGGCCTAGGTTGTGATATGTGTGTTGTGTTGGAGATGTTGTTTGTGGAATTGTTGTGGTTTGTAAGTTGTTCTCCAGAGGTTCTTTCTGGAGTTCTCGACGGCGCTTGGCCGATGCCATGGTGTCATCCTGCACTATTCGCCAGCGTTGATGCATGCGGTACCATAGTTGAAGCTGCCGCTGTTCATTCTTGGTCAAGGAATTGCTCAGCTGCGCATCGATGTGAACCCAGCGCACCACCAAGTTGTTCTTTAGTTGTGCGTGCTTCAGTCCCATCAACTCAATGTCGACCCTTCTCTCGGTACCTCGGGTACAGATTACCTCAGTGGACAGTTTATCGAACACGTTTCGGCTATCCGTGACCAAGCCACCTACCACAGTGTTCACCAAATCGTTCACACCTCGAATGCTAAAAGGTCGTCCGAGCATTTCACCAAATTGGAACCTAGAAAAGAAAAGGGCATCTTCGGAGTTGACAGCTGCTGCTGCCTCACTAGCACCAGGACTCCTGCAAACCCTCTGGGTCTTGGAGGAGTTCCAAGCAAGGGGAGACACGAACTCACACTCACCTTTCAACAAACCTAAGTTGGCCGCTCCGATGAGGTATCCCTGGGTACTGCCGCCATCAATGCGGTTTTGGTTGGACGCATCACACCAAACGAGAAGTCCAAAGGTTTCCAAGTCAATCTTGGGGATGAGGAGTTTGTGATCACGCATGGGTTTCACTTCGTGCACGAGCTTGTTCGCTCGATGAAGTGTTTCGATCGTGCTTTTACTTACTTCGGACAACAAGAGTCCGGTCTCGGCAGAAAAGTGTGGCGCCGTTTGCTGAGCTAGCCAGCTCACCCCACCCAGGAGTGCCCGAAGTTGTCCTTTTTCCAACTCGTCGGTTTCTCCATGTTTGTCTTTCTTTCTATGGGCTCGGATGTTGATGTACTTCAAGTCATCAATGTATGCTTCTTGTGACAGGGCGTATGTTCCATCGGCTGCACATTCAACTTTGACCCCACACTGAACAAAGGGGCCAGTTTCCCAGTCAGACCATTTGTATTTTTGCTTGATCGTGGCCAGCAAATGTTGCCACTCTTTGCAAGTTTCACCTCCTGAGAAAACAAAGTCGTCGACGTGTCCTGAGATCAAACCTTTGAGTTGTCCCGCCACCTGAAAGGTCCAGCAACAGGGGTCTGACCAGCATCGTCGCAGATTGTGCTCTTGGAAGAATTCAGAAACGGATCTGTACCATTCTAGCGGTGTATCAACCAATCCGTAGCATGCCTCTCGAACCCGTGTGATGGTTTCATGAGGAAGTCCCATGGCATCAAGGATTTCAGGACAAGGGATGCAGTACAGGTTGTCTGGATAGGTTCGAGACTGGAGAAATGCACCAGTGACATCTCCCCTCCAGGTCTTGAAACCCTTTGCTGCTGCAATGGTCAACTGGATCTGACGAGTTTGTCTTGTAGTGGTTGGGGATGCAGTTGCTCGACCCTCATACTCAGGGTCCATGTACCCCAACAGAACAGCCCTTGCTTTGGCCTTGTGGCCGCCATCCGGCAATGCTTTCCATGTCAAGATCCAGCGCATTCGAACGGCATCTTCTCTTCGAACACGATGTGTCTCTGGCAAGGCCTCAAAGGCTTTTGCTGCTATGAAATTGTTGACTTCCACGGATTTGGCCTTGTCAAAAGATGCTTTCTCTTCTGAATTCATGCGTTTCTCTGACACTTCGATGGCTCTCTTCTTGAAGGCGTTGGCCAGATAGGCCTGAAGATCTCTCATGGCTCGGTCCGAGGAACCACGGGTCTGTGGCATATCTATACACACTTCCACCGCTGCTCCGGGACTTGTCCAGAAAGTACCTGTATCTTCAGTAGCCAAGAATGCACTGTCGGGAAGATTGTCTGCCCATGAAGGTCCCTGATCAAACCCAATGGGTGGTTGAGCGACAACTTCACTGTCTCTATTTCGACTGCGAGATCGACCTCGATCCGGGGTCTCCTCCGTGTCTTCCTGTTCACGGAAGACTGCACTACGCCTGAGGCGACTGCTGGCTGAACCTTCTGGGCAGACATCAACTTCTGCTGATGGTGGACATGACCGTTTGCCATGCTGTCGCACTGTAGGCTGCCATTCATGTTGTGGGTCTTTTGCTCTATGCCACTCTGCTTCGTCGGGTTGCTCACTCCAGTCTTCATAGTCGTTACCTCCCAACTCTTCTGCAACCTGTGGAAATGTCCAGGGTTGTGAGGCCTCTGAACGCAGCTCATCGACGATTTGTTCACGCTCCGATGCGTGCCGTTGCTGTTCCGGACAGCGCTTCAAGAGTCGTCGTCCACGGACTAACCATACGGCTGAGCCCTGTATCAACTGTCCATCTGCATCTCGGCGTAACTCTGTGGCCAAGATTCAAGCTGGTCCAACAAACTTTCCCGTAGTGGTCTTTACAGGGTATATGCGTCCTTGCCTGTCACTTGACGCCGCCAAATGAAGACCAAGTCCCCGGCTGAAAACTTGTGTAGCCGGCGGTGTCGGGAGTTGGCTGCTCTCTGCAATCTCTGACTGTTGTTCCAATCCAAAAAGGCCTTTTCTGCTGCTAAGCGAAGCCGGGATGTTGTACGGAACTCTTCTTGTGGGTGCACAGACATCAACTCGGGTGGTGGATTTGCACTCATCTCAAAGAATCGTCCGGTGTCATCCGGAGCCCGACCTATCACATGTTGTATGGGTGAATAGCCTCGAACGACTTCCCGATTGTTGAGCACACGAATGCTCTCTGAGAGGACGTCTTCAAGGGCATCATCGGGAAAATCCTATCGCAGAACTCAGACAGTCCATGGCTTCGGAAGCTTCCATCTGGGTCGACTCTGAGAGTCAGTGGACATCCAAAATAAGAGATCCAGGCTTCCTTGAAAACACTAATGAACTGCGCGCCTGACACATGCTTTTGTTTTCCCCGAACCCCGATTCGAGAGACCCGGAACCGACAACCCTCATCAACCAACATGATGAACTGAATGTGTTCCCCGTTAACAGGATGTATGAAGTGTCCCATGTCGGCGGATACGGTGTGGAACTTTGCTGGCTGAGGCTCTAAGGCAGCCACGTTTCTGGGCTGAGGTCGAGACCGCTCCTGACACACTGAGCACTTGAAGCGTTCAGCTTCTGCCAAAATGGCAGGGTGCACTCCTCTTCGTTTCAAAGATTGTATCATATACTTTATGGGGCTGTGTCCAAGTACAGTTTCCGTCGGATCGTCTCAGCGTCCATATTGCATGGTCCAGGGTCCTCGTCCTCATTGGCCATCACTTCAAACAAAGGGGGACTGCAGTTTCCACAGGTTAAGTGCGTTTCATGCTTTTGGTGTTCCTCGCAAAGACAAAACGCACCTTTTCCAAAAAGGCCCCCTTCCGTAGCATGTCCGTTCAAATCCTGTTTCAGTTGTGAGTCCGTCATCCCCTGCAAGATCGTGCTGCAAACACGCTTCGCAAAAGGAGAGGTGTAGTACGCTGACTGTTTGGTCAAGTGTCCTTCACATGGAACATGCTTAGTGTCTTTGCCACATGAGCATGGAAGATTCATACGTTGCGCTAACAGCTCATGGGTGGTCATCAACTTCCAACCTTTGGAAATAGGATTTCCCTTCTTATCCTTCAAACCCACCTGACACCCCCGGACGATCGAAAAGTAAACCTGATACTTTCGCACCACCTGCTGAAGCAAGGGCAGGCGCCAGGCCTGACAGGATTGTGACCACTCCCAAGTAGCATGTAGGCCTTTTTGAATGCAATACACATACACGATCATGCCGCCAACGTGTTGTTTCAAAACCTCCTTTCGTTTCTGTTCGAGGGACGCACACTGGTCAGGGTTTCGTTGGTTCACGTTTTGCATGATGGAATAAAGGCCGCATTCCGTGGAGATCCAAACATGGTTGGGTTTTTCCGTGTCAATGATGTCCAGAATTGATCGAACACCGTTGTTTGTTCTCAAATCAAAGTGATTCCATATCGACAGGCGGCGAGCTGACTTTTCCTGCCTAGTCATAGTTTGCATCGTTTTGGTGAGGATGCTGTCTTGGCTGCAGGCGACCTCCAAAAGCACTACCCTATCCTGAAGAACCAACGATTGGAAGGCCTCCGTGGCCATACGTTCAGTATCTTGCTTCAAAGTCCTAGAAGCACTGGGGTTGACCTTTTTCATTCCCGAGGGATTCCCTTCCAATCCAAACGTCGACTGTCCGAGTCGATCTGACAGAGAATCTAAGGCTCTAAGGGCAATGCTAAGGTCCCACGCTCATTGCGGCAGCAGCTCGAAACTGCTGGCCTCCGAAGGCGCTGCTTGGCTCTTCGCCTTGGCCTCCTTGCCGGGCCGTTCCATCTTGAAGTCCTGGACCTCCTCCTTCAGGGTGATCACGGATTGGGCCAGCATTTGGAGAAGCTCCTTGGTCTCCGGATCAGAGTCTGGCTTCTTGTCTTGGATGTCGGGGATGTGTCCAAGATCCCTGTCATGGGCGTGCTGGTCATCGGCTTGTAGCCCTGTGGTGGCTCGGATGAGGCTGCTGCCCTTGCATGTGTTGCCAATCTTTGGCTGCGGAGACAGCAGTCGTTGTCCTCGCTCGCCGTGGTGGTCACCCATGTGCAGTAACCCGCGTGCTTCTGGTAGACTTCCTCGTAGCTCAGGCTGGAGTGTTTCCCGAAGCCCACCGGGTCTTGGGGAGAGGCCCCGGGCTGGTCGTACACGGCCTGGACCCCCTTGGCCATCATGATCTTGATGGTTTCCGTCCCCGTCAGGGGAACATGGAGGACCTCCTGCATGTGCTTGACAAGGGCTTCCTTCTTGCGACCTGCCGTGTTCAGGTCCACCATCATCTGCCGCAAGGGTGTTTTGTTCTTGCGCTGAGACACCTCGGGGATGCCCTTCTCCTTCCGGAGTTCCTCAATTCGGCACTCGATCTCGGTGACCGTCCAAGCCTTGGGAGGTGTCTCTCCCAGAGCTTCCATGGCACTGATGAGGTCTGCCTTCTTCATAGCAGGCATGGTGACTCTCAGGTTGAGGCGGAGGCGGATCACGACAAAGTGGAACCTTTCGAGCTGTTGTAGCTGCCGTATGTGTATGTGTGGTTGTCATGTCTGATGATGTTGAGTGTGATTGCCGGTGGGTGGAATGTGTGTCAATTGGTGGTCTATGAGTTTCCTCAGTTTCAAAAGAACACACACCATGAAGCGAATACGAATGACAAGTACTATCACTACGTTCATGCTGTCACGTCTCGACCGACCGCTCACTTCTGCACTACACTGCACCTCCCTTTCTTCGGCAGAAGGCGAATCAGGGAGGAGTTGTCCCTAAATGAAGTCCTTCAAACTGGGCACAGACGACTTCGCTTGAAAAGAGTGTCCATACCAATCCTGAGTGAGCGGGAGAAGCTGATGGCCCGAGCTAGACTGCTCGAGCTGGATGATGCGATCCTTGCTCAAGTTTTCAAAATCTGTCACAGCTCCTACGGATCGCAACGTTTCTATGGAGAAAAGGATCGGGCCTGTGCCCTGATCCAAAGTATGGATCTTCAACTCGCCGGGTCGTCCCTCGGCCTGGATGCGCATCCATGCCGTCGACAAACACTGGTTGCGGGACGAATTCCCAAACCCAAACGTGGGCCTTTGCTCGGTGTCCAGCTTCGAGAGGCCGTCGGAGCCATTGAGGTCCTGGTTCAGGGACATCAGAGCCTCGACCGCCTTGACGGACCCCAATGTCCGCGTGGCGCCCCCGTCGATGACTGCTTTTCCCTGTTCCATGGCTTGGCTCGTTGAGATCTTGTTGAGCCCGGAGCCATCAGCTGCAAAGACCTGGTCTGTGAGGCAGATGAACGGGGCCTCCTGCTGGGGCGACTGGTCCACATTGAAACTCTTCGATTTCTTCGGACAGTCCTCGGTGCGATGAGCTCCACCGCAACCCAGACTCTTGGCAGAGTGGCCTGCATGGCCAGAAATGCCCTCCTTCTCCATAAAGGCATTTGGGTTGGGTCGTTGAGGTGTACCATAGTACTGCCGGCTGAGCTTGACGAAATGCTGCTTGGCACGAGCTTCTCGGAGCGTGCGGCGGCCACGTTCCAGCATGGCCAGGGCCTCTTGAGCTTCTTCTTCAGCCTCGTTCATCAAGGCTTGACCTTCAAAGTTGAGGCCTGAGGTGGACAGGAAGCTGAGGTCAGGGCTCTCCATGTCGAAGGGGTCGCCGCCAAGGTCGTCCACGGTCCATGCTGATGCTCGTCCATTTTGGTCATGACGACGAAGGTCGTCGTCATTCCACTGGTTCCGGAGTTCTTGCGCGACTTTGGCAGAACTGAAATGCCCCTTCAGGCATGCCAAAATCATGTTCTTTTCGCTCGTCTCCAGATTTGCATCCTGGAGAAGGAACCAGCCTTGTACGAAGTCTGGCAAGAGTTGCGCTCGTGCCACCTGTGGGAGTTCCCACAGAGGCCCTGTGGCCAATGAGATTCCCAACCCCAGGGACGCCATTGCTGTTGGTGCCATTGTGCCCATGGATCTGCCTGGCCCGATGACGGAGTGTGTTGCCCTGGATCTCCGGCTGCATGTTCTTGAGGGCCTGAGCTAGCTGATTCAGTATGTGCTTCTTGGGCGTCATGAAACTCATGGGCTTCAGGGATCTCCTCCAATCGAGAGGATGGGGCTGCCACCGACGATGAACGATTGGTCGGTTCATAGTATTCCCCAGCTCGCTGCAGAGTCTGCTCGGTACGGCTGTAAAGTTCAGCCTTCCGGGTGATGTAGTCGTTCATCGATTCGTTCTTCTTGCGACAACTCTGCTTGAAGTACTTGGACATATACTCGCTCATCTCGGACAGCTGTGGCAAGCCAAGATGCTTGCGAAGGTGGAGTAACAAGGTCTGCACTCCTCCATTGTGCGATACCCAGCCAGGTCGCTGCGAGAGCACAAAGCGTCGAGCAGTGCCTGACAACTCATTCAATAGCTTGGGGCCGCGCAGATACCGCTTGTGATACGGTATCGTCTGTTCCCAGTGTTCAGCCAACTCGCTGTACTCCTGGAAGGTGCTTGCTGACCCATCCCATTGAGGAACTCCTTCTCGATTTCTTTCAACCACCGCCATGGCTCAATTGGGCTACTTGCACCTAGAGCTAGGATCGAAAATCTCTTCGGATGCCACTCAGGGCTCCGCTACCATGTAAGCGGTGGAACAGCTTACAGGTGCTCAAAACACAAGAGCTTCTAGCTAACACGGGCACGTTGGGATGGCACGGCAATCCTTCAACGCCCACTTGTTTTCTCGCTTTGACCCATTCTTGACTCAGTCGGTTCACGGACTCTGGCACACAGTGTTCACACTGCACAGTGTACATATATATATATATGTGTGTGTACACGTCCACCCTCCTCCTACCCTTGCTCTCCATAGAGATCAGAAAACTGCACCAAGGGTGTGAACCGGCACTGTAGTCCACTGGCGGTGGAAAAAGTGCCAGTAGAATAGATCCTAAATCCCATTGCCTCCTCTTTGACGGCAATCATACTTGCCGGTGAGGATGAAGGGAAGAATGCCCTGGGCTTCCTGGATGACGGAATGCAGGTCGAGGCCAACAACTAACGACCGGTGAACGCGCAGTCAAACTGATGGGGTTTGCATTGGACGTGCATCTGCACTGACCTGTCAGAGTGCTTCTTGCTTTTGCACTGCGAACGGTTTCTGTTTTTTCAGTTGCTTTCAATTGCTGTTTCTCAGGTGATGACCCACTGGTTCGAGTGCAGTTGGGAAGGAGCAGGACCATCCAAGCGCGGTTTCATTCAGGCGCACCTTCTATTCCATGGTATCCCAAGTGTGGTCGCATGGTTTTGGGAATGTTCGTGGGGGATGTTGGACCATCGTGCAGCCAAGAGTCAAGACTTGTGAGAATGGTTCTTCCGTTTCCTGATGGAGATTTGTGGTTTTCTGCTTTTGACGTGAGTCACTCTTGGTGGTTTGTGCATGCCTGCGTTTGTTGTGTCCGAGCCGATCTTCGGATCGTGTCCCTTTTGCCGCCGAGCACGTGGGGTTGGGGGCAGGCTCAATGCATCCCGGAGAACGACGTTAGCCTAAAGGGCCCCACGGAGGAGTGCCGTCGTTGTGCTTGGTGCATCATCTTGACAGAATATGGACCCAGAAAGTGCCTCCGCAAAGTCTGCCCCCTGCGTGGCTGTTCTACATGGTTTGACTTTCTTTGTGCAGGACTGTTCTGCTGCTTTGACCATGCTCCAGGAGAAGTTGGGCATTGAAATTGAAACCTTTTCATTAGGCCGGGCCTCGGAAGCCTCCTGGTATTTGTGAACTCCTTACCTCTGGCTGTCAAATTGGCCCTTGTGAGGGTCGAGGAGCAACTTCGACCCAGTACGTTTGAAAACATGGAAACTTGACGCCGGTGTTCCAGAAGCGTTCAGCCAGACCCTCTGTGAAGGTGGTGGAAAGCCCAAAGCAAAAGCGAAGGTGAAGGGTTTGGCTAGGGGTTGTTCAGTTGTCATGCGGAGAGGAGTCGGTGTTCTTTTGAGGTATATATACCTCGCAAGCAGTTTTGGCAGCTTGGGTCCCAAGGCCAAAGCGAAAGGAAAAGCCAAAGCAAAAGCGTAGGCTCCTTGCCAGGAGAAAAGGTGCTGTAGTCCTTGGAGTGGTGAGGGGTGTGACTGTTCGTGGCTCGCTGATGGTGCGAATCGATCATCGCACGACGTCATTTTGCACGCTGACCATTTTTGGCTTGTCACTCAAGGCTCAAGCCGAAGGCTTTAGTTCAGCTGGCTGCCGGCTACAGCCACAGCTGATGTTTTGAAAGATGTGCAGAAGCACATTTTGTTGGTTGGAAGGTTCGCGTGCGGACCTGCCATCGAGGGCACCGTCTTGGTGCTGGTCGGGGGGCTGTGCCCATGTCGACGAATCGAGGCTGGGGATATCTAGGAAGGGCAGGAATCATGGCCTTCCCTAGTAATTACAATCAACTCCAGTGAGAGGTGATGATTCAGTGGCGAGCCTGCCACCCACATGGTTTTGTGTTCGGACAGCAGGGTCAACAGCTGGCAGGGCTGTCGTTCTCGGTGTCTTGCAGCCAACGATCCTCCAAAACATGGTCAAATGAATATAGTATAGCAACCCGATTGTCTAAAAGCCTGGACTGTTCGTTGTTTGCATGCGAGCATGTGCTAGGACAAGATTGGCGCCAGCTGCATCCCGCACAACTCACGGCCAAAGATTGGGGAGGCCTGACATCTTTCACATATGGGATTTTCGTTGCTGTCCCCTAATAGCAGTGTGGCCCAAACGTGTCCTTCAAATATCTCCAATTCTCGTCACTACATTGCCACCGGTTCACTTGTATGAGCCATGGGTAGTTGCAGGGTCTCTAGATCTCTCACAGTGCGCTCACGATGCCCTGATCGTCGTAGAACTTGGCAAGGAAAGGCTGTCACAAGTGATCGCTTTTACCTTTTTGGGGCACTGTTTTGCATTCTGTCCTATACCCAAACGAAGAGATTCAGAAGCAACCGGGGAGGTTGAGGTGGTTGGTGTGTGGGGAAGGGGTTGCCAGAGAGCTTGTGCTAGATTGTTCTTCGTGTTTTGGTGAGAAATCCAACTAGGTCGAATCAAGCAGAGTGCCGCGCAGTCGCACTGGCGCATGGCCGTCGAATCCCTCCAGCTAATGAGGACAAAGGCGCTCACGTGGTTGGAGGGCCTTGGGGCGTGTGTGCGTTGACCGTAGCTCCCAAAATGAGACACATGGACCTTAATTGGATCACTTCCTGCATGTGTGTTGCTCAACACCAGTTGAACTGTCGCCGTCGCTTTTCCTCTCCCTGGCTTTTTGGCCGTCGGAGGCGTTGCGCCCAAACCAGATCACCCGCAACATTGTGGCGGCATCGCTTCGGAAGAGCTGGACGCGTTCATTCAGGTGTGGATTTGGGGTGGCGAATGAAACAAGGATTGTGTGCACTACTTTTCTCCATCAGTGCTCCACGCCATTTTGATGGAAGAGTCACACATATGGGGAATGAGACGCAAACCTTGAAACATCCATAGAAGAAGCTACGAACGGGGCTCCTGGCATCGCTACTAGGGGCAAGGACGCTACGAACGGGGCTCCTGGCCTTACTACTAGTAACAAGAAGATACGAACGGGGCTCCTGTGATTTCAGATGATTTCAGGATTCTGCGGTTCCCGGCCGATGTCGTTGGGTGCCGGGCCGAGAAGGGTGCTGAACCAGTGCTCAGCATGGTTGATCTCCAGCAACTGCGGGTCGAAGAAGCAGGTGAACATGGCATGTTTAGACACAAGTCCGTAATATGCCTGAAGATTTCGGAACCTTGGTTGTTTCCTTTCTCCTTCTCTGGTGCTTCTGAAGGCTCAACATTGCAGTGAAGTCTTGTGCAGAACGCGTGTGGGAGTGCGGCTTTAGCAGAGCGCTTAGCACACAGTCAGTGCGAGCTCACCTATGAGAGAAAAGGCGTGGGTTGCCTGTTGGTGAAGAAGCTTTTGCGAGGTCTTCTCTCCTTTGCACTTCAGCAGCTGCTGAGACCCAACATCGCCGCGGCCCAATTTCACGAGGGAGCAGGACTGCTCCAGGTGAGGCACTCCTCCCAATTGCCCCACTGCGTGGCGAGGTTTCATACAACAGCCTGCTCGGGATTGGTGCGACAGGCTGGCCACGCTCGTTGTCACTCTTGGTCCGGTGCCTGGCAGAGTCAGGGTTTGGCCGATGGTGTTGGCCCGAGCCAGACGCCTGGCGCCTGTCGTGTGCTGAGGTGTCGTGTGGTACAAGTGCAGACGTCACAAGCTACACGTCGATGATGTCCATGATCAGCCCATATCGATGGGACGAAGGCTCGGCAAAATTGTTCATTGGGGCTTTGTGTCAAGAGGCTGCTCGAAATATAAGAAAACACTTGACGCAGTTGAAAGCCTCGAAATGACTCATGTCGCGAGCATTATTCAACACCGAAGCTCCTTAGGTCTATTTGATGTATTTGCACTCACTAGGTTCATCAACAGACTTGTGACCACTAGAGCGGCATAGTTATAGTTTATCTGAACCTTTTGGAGAGAACCATAGTGTGTGTACACTTCAAGACCCAACATCTCCTGTTCTCCCAATTTTCGTGGCGAAGTGGTGGTGACTTGGCCCTCCAGGCATGTCACTCATGAATCGACTGAACAGCGCTGCACTTGGCCCACACAGGGAGAATCGGTCCCGGCTGCAGGGTTGTTACACAGAGAGGCACACCGAGTTAAACAGTGAATGAACCCCTCGAAGTGTCCACGTGGCATGTCTCACGCCGGAAGCCCTGCCGATCAATCAAGCTAGTTGGATCTTGTTCCAAGAGCTTAGAAAGCAAATTGTTCTGCTGATTTGAAATTGCGCTCCTCGACTTGGCTCCCTCATCGCTTGGGTGGTCATGTCCGCGTGGCCGAGGCCATGGCTTGCAGTGCGATGAGGTCTTGGCCTCGTCGCTGATGCGCTTGACGTCTTGGCGCAGGGGGTGCGGAGCCCCAGAACAGAGGTGATGAGGGGATGGAACAAGCGATGACGGGTGGTTCTGCGTCCCAAAGCTGTCAAGGGACAAGGGGCGTCTTCCAAGAACTGGCCGAGCCTACTTAGCTGCCTTCGAACTGCCAACATTTACTGGGTGCCAAAACATGCTAACCACAGCTACGTAGTGATAGGGCGGTGATGCGTCTCAGCAGAAGCACATGGTGGAAAGGGGACACCATAGAACATATCAGACAACACTTATGCATTCAACTTCTTTCCCACACGTTCCTGTCAGCAATCCCTGACCTGCATGTACCTCCTCTGAAAAGGAGTCCTCCTTGCACTCTAACATTGTCTTCGTTTTGGGAGGGGTGTTGGCTAGAGTTCCAGCTCCAGCTCTCATGAAATGAGACCAGATTAAAACCAAGGGCCCAGGCCATTTTACACGAAGAGTCATGTGCGTGGAATTCCTTTACGCTACCAACCTCCATGACTGCAGAATTGTTGCATATTACAGGTCTTTCCAGTTGTGCACTTGTAACTTGATGATGCCCTGCCACTGCCGTACCGACCTAACCCGTTGGAAAGAGTCACCACATGAATGTGGAAAGAAGAAGTTGCACTCTGACTAGACAATAGATTGGCCGCAGCGCTGCAAAAGTCCTTCCCCCCAAAGTGCAAGACAGGCCAACAACTTGGCCCCGTCCCAAACTCCATTACTTCTTCGGTCTCCGGTGTGTTTCAACCCTCCACAAATGGAACTTAGACCCCCTAAAACCTTGAGCCTGTGGCTTTCCTGGCCATGTCCTGTGGCAGGACACATCTTCTTTCATCATTCAGTTCGCTTCTGCTTCGAGCCGACGTGGTAGCGGTTGGTGCTTGTTCCAACAGCTGTGCTCAAAGCGGCCAATGGAATCAGGCGCGGCGCCGCCTTTGGATGGCGATAGGGCGAGTTCGAACGGCAGAGCCGGGGGCTTCGCTCCACCTTTGGTCGAACGGCTTGGTGCGAGGTTCAGAGGGTTGCGATGAACTGACCCACATCGTGATGTGGAATTGGTCGGGGGGCGCGAGGTTGCGCAGACTCCAGTATTGAGGACGTTCCATAGGATGGTGTGCGCAGACTCCAGGACTCTCCACTGTTATTGTTTTGTGTTTATCGGTCCGATGCACATGGTAATTTGAAGCCATTTCTGCCAGTAGAGACTTGGCCTTGTCAGGCAATGAACTTCGCAAGCCAGCTGTCTCAGATGGTACTGATCCAAGTTGGCCAGGTCTAGTTAGCGCAAGTTTTGTAGTTTTGTAAGGGATGGATGGATCATAGAGTGATACAGACGAAGGGGTGCAATGACTGCAAAGGGTGATTGCTACGCCTTGGCAGAGGCTTTTGACACTGACTGTTTGGCAAAGCAAGGATCTGAAATGCAGCCTGGCAATGATCAACTCCCTGCTGGGTGCCCGAAATGTGCGTGGGATACTCAAGTCTGCAAGCATAGATGTTCTTCTGGATAGTTGCTGGTGTGCTCCCGGCTTGCATTACGGGTCTTTTTCTTAGCGGGAACTTTTGTAGGGTTGCAGGTGAGCATGCCAGAGTTTGCATGGAGATTCCGGCGCAAATCAGTTGCCGGTAGGTGTTTGCGAAGACTTCCAAGCCACAATTGCAACTACGACTATGCCTTTCATTTCTGTGGTCCTCCCGAGGTATTCGGTCGGTTCTGTAATCGAACTATACAGTAACCAGTCACCCTGGCTCGATGCTTTTCTCTTTTGGATGACCAGCGACTAGCATTACGCAAAGCGATTACTGCAAGCATTTTCCCCCTGCCGATGACAATGACACGGAGGTTGGGAAGTTGCTGCTGACCTCTTCCGGTGCTTCCAGCCTGTGCCGCAGAGAGCACATGTGCACTACGGTGAAAAGAGTTGAGAATCTAAGGCCAGACTTGATCACTGTGAATGGAGCAGCCGCTGCTTGTGACAAGGTGCTGACATGGGGTACGGATACTGGACACACTGAATATCCACCCCGGTGATGGGTCCCTCAGGTCTTTAGTATTTTAGTATTTTAGTTTCTCTTTCCAAGTGCGCATGTGAGTTGCTTTGGAGTTGGAAAAAGGGATGGACTCAACTTCTTTAGGCGCATGAGTGGCAGCGAGCTGTGATGCTGGTTCAACAAGCCCGTCAATTTCAGCTGCAGTCGGCGAAGCACTGAGATTGGCAGTCGTGCAGGCGTGCTTCTTCACCCATTCACATTCAAAAGGGATGATTTTGGATCCATCCTGTTCAACATGTTCGGCAACATGTTCGGCTCCTTTAATGTCCTTGCACATTTTAGCCTACCTTTGAAGACCAGTAGTGGTGGTGGAATGAGAGGTCTTGGGAGCCCACTACCAGGCTTTCTTTGCCCACTCTGTCATACTCCCCTAGAGACTTGTAGACAATGACAGTAGCGAAGCGAAGTAAAGGGTCTTGCTGAGGATTCAATTTTACACAGCATAGCCACAGATGCATGTCAGATTCTCAGAGTGTGTAGTCTCAGCCGTTGGTGAATTTGGCCCCCAGAATTCCACCTCTGGAAAGGCCAGCGAACCCTGAAGTGGGAGGCAGCCCTGGCAGGCTTCCAAGCATGCCAAGGCCATCAGCTTCGCTAGGGTTCAACAATGAAACGTGATCACTGCTTTGTGAGTTTCACTTTCATGGGTGAATCCTGCCTTCATGAATTCCGAGCATGCCCACTGCCCATTGTGGAGGCCTTCCCTGTGTGGCAAGTGACATTACGAGCATGAGGCATTTTGCACTGCCTGGTGTTTTGGCTCAGCGAAAAGCTATCCCGCTTCGTGCCAAGCTCTAAACTGGGCAACCATGAGGCTGCACGCAGTTGGAGTAGATGACATTTTTGAAGGTCCACAATGATTGTGGTGTCCATTTACTAAGTGCCAACCCGATAATCCATTTGTCAGTTTTTGTTTGACGAGTGCCCTTCATGCCCTCCTCCTGAACGATCACCCCCTCCACCCATCACGAAGGTACAATTTTCCAACACGTGCAATGGTTTGGTGTGAGGGGTACTGCACTATTTCTATTACAGTGGTGTTGTGTTGTGTCCATGTGAGAATGGTTGGCTAGACAGAAAGCGGACGGATCATGAGCTCGTCTGGAGTGCCGCAGTTGCGAGTGCTGCGGCCGCTGGCAGGCAGTGCACGTGTGAAAGTTGAGCCACTGATGAGTCACAGCCAGTTGGTTTGGTGGCTGGACAGGCTTCGGCCGCCGAATCATTTGGCGTTGGAAGCCATCGGCCCCGCGGCGATCTTCCGAGCGCTGAAAGCGTTGGCGAGCTCTGGACCACTTCGAGAACCTGCGCGGTTTGTTCCAGTGAACTTTGAGGTGAGCTCGCAGAGCTTTTCGCAGAGCTCCTCGCAGATCTCCCAGAACTCAGATGTGGGAGATTCAGATCAAGAAGGGCGAGGTCGAAGGAAGCGTGGCATCCGCTTTCTGGTTGCACCTGCTTCATCTACGGTCGATCCTTGGAAGACTTGGAGTACATTTCCGGCGCTGAGATTAGCTGCCAAAATGGACGTGGCCCGCTTTGCGCGAGCTTTGCTCTTTGAGCGGAAAATGAGAAGCAGGCAAGGTTCCACAAAACCATGCTGAAACTTGAAACGCTACCTTAAAATGATTGTGGTCAACAACTGGACCCCCCCAAGCATTTCACCTCCAAAACATAAACATAGCGGTCTATGTGCGGTGTTCTGGAATCTCATGGCCGAACATGGAATGAGGCATGTGCCAGTCTTGCTGGAAGCCACTTTCTCCAAAAGGCATGCCTATGTGCTGTGCAAGGCCCTTGCCAAAGCTCAGCATCTCACAATGATGCTTTCCAACCAGCCCAGCGCCATCAGTTGTATAGCGCGTGTGACCAAAAGGGATGGTCCTGACACTGTGACCGATGAGGCAGGCAATACGCCTATGATCATCCGTGTCATGGTCTTCCAGCCTTTCTCCATCAGTGGAGAAGCAGCTGAGAGGGAAGAGCATGGGCAGATGGTGCGAAAAAAGCATTGGGAGAGACCTGCGTTCGAGGGCAAGAGATGCTCAGCCATTGCCTTGGCCCAAGCGAGGCGTTCAGCCATGCATTGTCCTTTTCAACACAGTGGCGACCCCTGTCTGGTGTGGTTGTGACGAGGTGTTTTGATTCATGGTGTTTCAGTGGCCTGTCAAATTCATCCTTTCGTCGCAGTCGTGCAACGCGGTCGCAGTGATTTCAGATTTCGACTGAGGCCATTGCTGCCGGGACATGGCAACTGGCAACACATTTCTTCGCTGGGCTCCCGCAATGCCAGATGAGCCCAAGCATTGTCTGTGCCCTCAGGGTGTGGGAATATTGTGGTCCACCACCACCACCACCGCCGCCGCCGCCGCCACCACATTTTGGTGACTCTTGTGCTGAAGGTGACTTGTTCTGCCACACTGGAACGCCTGGCCGCCGGAGGCAAGGCCAGCATTCTGATAGGGCCTGATAGGGACTTCAGCGCGGGGTGGTACTTCGGAACAAACATGAAGTGGTCACGTCCTGATGTTTGGCATGCAGACCGGGCTTGTTGCCTGGTTTCTTTGCATCTGGCAGCGCCTGAACGGGCTGTCTGAGTTGAGAGGTCAATGGGAGGCAGCCTGGAAGCTCCTGAGCACTTCAGGTATGGATCAGCCCTCACCCTCCCAGGCGCGCATGCATGCAAAGGATGCAAGGGTCACACTTTTCGAGCAAGATGGCAATGTTTGCATCGCATTCGCATTTGGGAAGCCATTCAGCTGGGTTGATGGGAGTCATCAGCCACTCGATGCCAGGTTTGGTGTTCAGCTCGCGACTTAGCCATGGCTCGCTGCTATGGGTCGACAGAGATTGAACTTGTTGTTGGCAATGATGTTTGTTTCCCTCTTCCTGTGTCCTAGCAGAAGTTTTTCAGATGTTCTGCTGTTGTTGGCATGACTAGCCACGGGTTGTCGATTTTGCCTTGGCCAAGGCCTTTCAGGGCTCTGGCGCTCCCTGGGAGGTGTCGCTGCGAGGGGTTGATGCGCTGCGAGCTGCGAGCCCACCACGTGCTGAGGCCGTGCTTCGGATCTATAAGACGATGCAAACGCTGGCCGGCCAACCAGATGCCTGGGTCTTGGTTGAATGGAGTAGCACGACTAGCATGGATTCATGTTGAATGGTGGGTCGTTGTGCTTGAGACCTGGTGATAGAAGAGTTTCCAAATTCTGCAGCAGACAACCTCCCACAACATTAGGATACATTAGGTCAATAGCTGGTGCCTTCCCATAAGCTACCAAGCACGACCAAGAGCCGCCATCACCACAGATCACCCACCACCACTGCAGAATCATTACACATCACATGACTGTGGATTGCAAAAAATTGCCTTTTGTGCACTGTCAGATCGCACACGATTACCCTTGGAACCGGCACAACCCTTCGGTAGTGGACCGGCAAGATCACCAACTCATGGTTGTGGATTCATCCTCTAAGGCAACGATGCTGGCAGCAGTGGCCGTGCTTTGGCCAAATGCTCCCCGATGGAGGGTTGAACCTCAGAGAAGAGGGCCCATTGAGAACCAACACAGAGGGGGGAGGCAGAAGTTAAAGGTATGAGTGGGATAAGGGCAAGCTTGCGAGAGTGAACAGAGACGTCAATGAACACCTCACAGATTTGCTGTAGGGTTTCCTGAAGCGGTGGAATGCGTTTGGATTTTGAGCCCCTAGAATCTCTATTTTGCTACCGCTTGTTCGAGGACACTTGTGAAGAAAGTCAACGAGGACTGGATCAAGCTGACTTGACATGTCATTCGTGCTTAGCCCCACAATTGATCACAACCCCCTCACAATATCTCAACCTGTTGTATCGAGCATGCTGTGGTGATAGGCAGGCCTACGAATCTGGTGGCTTTGTGTGGCAATGTCGCACAAGAAGCGCTGCTTTTGGCCTCAGTTCATTGATTCCAACGACGTGGGGTGCCACGGGTCCGTTGCAACCCACGTCTCGGACGCGCAATCAACCGACGTCCAGCGATTCAGGTCGACGCTCCAGCAAGACCTGCGGCCCGGAGGAGCGAAGCTGCCACCCGGTGGAGAGCCGTGACGCGAGTGGAGAGAGTGGAGTGGAATTGGGGAAAGTGAGTCTGGGCATTCAGTGAAAAGATGTGAAACACATGGGATCATGGGAATATCAACATGCATCAGATCGGAGGTACTATATAACATACATATAGGTCTACACACACAGATAGTCATATATGTATATAAATATAAATATAACATACACGTACATAATAACACACTCTAGTTCGCTGTCTCAGGCTGAGCACTGTCCACAAGATGGGCTCCAGGAGCAGCTACAACTCTTCGAGATCAGAGGCGTGCGCTCGGGTGTGCACGGTGAATTTGGGTCTTTGTGTTGTAGCAAGCCTGTGATCTTAATGTGGAGGTTTTGGAGGAAGGCTTGGCAGGAAAATGGTGTTTTCCCTTTCGACCGTGCAGGGATGAGTGCACCTTCTGTGATGCCTTGCTAGGCAGGTCAGGGTTTGACTCAGAGGGCTATTTAGTATGTATTTCAAAGTGAAATAAATGGGCAGCCTACTGGCTGACCAACTCAGCAACTCTCCGGATGTCAAATTTCCGACCGCTGACGACCGGTGTCCTTTCCGGTAGCAGCTGATCCGGTTCATGTTCAATCTTTTTGGGCCGCCGGAACCGGCCATCTGTGATCTGATAGCTGCCAGACAGCAGCTAGGAAGGCAAAGGAGGGCCAATACGGAGACGAGATGGGCCAGGACTCGGCTGAGATTCGTGGGGGTTTTGGAGGAAGAAAGCACATGTGCATGTTTTGCGGACCACCCTGCACAGTGGTGTGACTAGTTTCTGGCCGTGCACAATATTTGGCGGCCATAGCTCAAGGCAAGAAAGACAGGAATCCTATATAAAACAATCCGATCGGATCCCAAAAAGGCATGGACACGCTGACGCACGCACATGCACACGTACCCTTGTGTGATCATTAGAGTTTCTCGATGTTGTTCCGGAAGCCGAACTATGCGGAACCGATATTTCCAGGCTTTTTGTGATGTTGATGTGATTGCATTGCATTTGAATTTGTGGCTTGAAGTACTCAGAACAGGTCTATGCAAAGCCAAGCCGGCTGATTGAACCTTTTTTGCTCAGTTGTGATGCAGTCAAAGCGCCGTGCATGGATAGCCATCCTTAGCCAGCCATAGCCCTTAACACGATCAGAACACCAGCTGACAGAGCATTGCATGTGTATGGGCATCACAGCCAAGAACAGTTTCAGCCAGTCTCAACCTCGCAGAAGACCAGAAAGCTGAGGCATCCCGGCAGCCGCAAGGCATCGCTGGCAGATTTCATCGCTGGAATCCTCACACTCAAAATGGTTGGCACATGCCCGGGCGGCCTGTAGCCGAGAGCAATGGCCTTTGGTGCCTTCAAGGGCTTTGGCAAAGGCGTTGACGGAGGGTATCAGGGCTTCTTGGGCTGGTAGATGTTTTCACCTTGTTTCTCCATCAGTGTAAATGACAGGATTTGCACGTGTCAACATCGGCATTTTCCAGGGCAAGCTAATCGACATCATGTTTAGAATCATTTTTGTTCACATGTCAGCCTGTCAGCACACCGTATAGTATCATGCACACATTCAAGCCACTTGCCAAGAAGGTGGGATCCTATCAATAACCATGTATCTCATCCGGCTCATTTGATAGAGTTTCATTTGATGTCTAAGGTCCCACTGCCCGAATCACACTTAGTCACTGGGCACCTCGCCTGACACATGCATACTGGCAGAATGTAGAAGACACATGTGTTTGCATGTTTACAGAACGCTCCATCATCCCTTGTACCCATTTTAACTTGTGTCCTCATGTACTGTATGCATAAAGTATCGGGGTCAAATGGCTCGGACATGAATCTGTGACGTGACTTTATGATAAGAGAGCATTTCTGGGCAAAAGACCATTCGCTCGTAAAGTTTTGAGATCATTGCCTCATGGCGACTGCAAAAACATGTCATGATGATTTTAAGAAGGCCTTTTTTGAAGGGGGTACCTTATTCAAGGGGTCCAAGGGCCTTCTTGTTTTGCTCAACATTCAGCCGGGTTGTCATGCCTCAGGCCCGCCAGGCGGCTTTGGTGGCTTTGGTGGCAAAGGTGGGGGTCCAGGTGGTCCAGGTGGTCCAGGTGGTGGCTACTGCGAAGAGGTGGCGTCCTCGGCGACATCCAGAGTTGGATGCGGCTCGTGGCGTGCTGTTTGTGGCGGTTCATGGTGCTTGGATGGCTCTGAGGACCGAAGCAGGGACTGGCAGTGCCCAAATGGATCTTGTAAGGGGCTGAGTGTTGACACGTGGAACAAGCAGAAGTGCGTGTGCCTGCGTTTTCCGTCGACCTGAGGTAGAGAAAGAAATTTTGTCAAAAGACCCATTTGTTTCAAGTGCGGTACGCCGAGGCAGGCTTGATAGCTGGTTTGGGGTTCAGTTCAGACACTCCACACAGGTTGCAGAATTCCAAGTTTCAAGGACAATTGATAACCTCAAGCTCAGCTTTCTTGGTTTTTATTCTTTTGGCTTCTCACCGAAGCACCTGCGGCATCACCCATGTCTCTGCAGACCAGCAGCCGATGCCCAGCGAGCTTCGCAGCCGCCACCGAAGGGGGGCACCACGCTGCATGGAATGGTGGCTTGGTCCAGAGCGAAGACCAGATTAGCTAGGCTCAGAGAATCTGTGGGAGTGGAATATTATAAACCTTTGGCATGTTGGCGCTGCCAAGCTGAGGTCAAGAGCTACAACAAGAAAGGGCAGGGGGCTTGACTCGATTTGCCCCTCCACCGCTAAGCACAATGTGAAACGGAGAGATTAGGAGAGATGTCTCAGGTTCGGTTTTATCATGTGCACCGGCAACTCCGACATCCAGGCCCTTGCCCACATCGCACGGGATGAAATCTGCACGAATGACACATTAGTGGAAGCTACCTCGTCAAAGCTACTACTGGAGGATTTGGTTCAGCAACAGTAGTGCATTCGACTGCTAGTGTTGCTTCAAATTGATGATAAGTTTTTGCTCAAGGACCTGTACTTCACAAGAGAGAACGTCAGTTCTCGCTTACTGTATCCTGGTTGCAAGGAGAACTTGGTTTTGAGGGATCAGACATGTGCAGACTCATCTGGAATGCCACAGACCCATTGGTGGCAAACAACATGTCCTATCATATCGCCAATCACTCCAGTTCATCCAGGCAAAATGTCTAGGTCAACCGGTGACTTGCGTCGGCTGCATGACGACAAGTCCGAATTGGTATCATGACTTACTTCCTGATCTTCTTGGAGCGCAGGCACCCTGATATGCCCGGAGAGCGGGTCACCTTTGAAATTGGCTACGAAGGCCGCCGCATGGTGGCAAGGACCGCTGCAGGGGTAGTCCAACATGGACCTTGCCTACGGTGTGCGGCTTCATTTCTGCAGTTTGGCAGAAGATATACTGCTTTCTCAATCCCGCTGAGCTCGAAGGAATGTTCGGCCATTCGGTGAAGACAAGCATACTCAAGCAGCGCTTGCCTCGTGAGAAATTGGAAAACGCATGTTTCAGAGCCACTTCTCAGCATCATTCCCAACAACAACTCATCAACAGAGGGGTGTTTAGAGTTTAGAGCTTTTGCGAATTAAAACGGAGCACAGCGGTTGCATTTAGCCTATTTTTTGTTGCTGCCCGTTTGATGGGGGAAGACGGTTGAGGCCATGGTGGCGAATAGTAACAAGGCCCGATATGAGCGAGGCTACGATGAAGAGGACTGGAGGAGGTATCCAACCGGATGTCCAACTGAATGATGGGCAGAATGATTCTTTTGGCTCCATCCGCATGTGTAGCTACTAGGACGGTACTAGGGGCTCCTGGCCGTACTGCTAGGAGCAAGAAACTACTAGTATAAAACAAAGGGCATGTTTCTGAGTTACTTTGGGGGAGGCAGAGTCGCTCAAACATCGGGCACTCCGACGGGCAATGATCGCGGTGCTCACTGAGCACGGTTTCTTTGTATGCGGTTCTTTTTAGTGTACCCCTCACCTTAGGAAGGTTTGGACAGATGGATGTCCACTTTTTTGTGTTTCTACTTGTGCAGCTTTGTTGTGAAACAAGGAGCCATGAGACCGAATCAGAAACGAAATGACATAGATTCTGAAATTTCCTGAAAGGACACTAGCAGGGATTGGCTGGCAGCCAAGTGAGTGAGCTGTGCTTGTCTCCCGAAAACTGCTCCATGGGCAAACAAGTCAAAGCTCCATCAACCCCACCCACTAATTGCTGCGTTCCTTCAAGACTTCTGATGCCGGAAGGCACATCAACGGTCTCTCCGATATTTTCTGAGGAACTGCCCCTCCTGCAATGAGCGGAACTTCTTGAAGAGAAATGTTTGCTTCAAGTGTTCCACGCCGAAGCCCATTGTTGCAGGCCACAAGAGTTGCAGTCTTTTAACCTTGCTTGTAAGCTTTTCCTTGGTTTCTCTGTGCAGTGGAACGATTTCAAGAGAGAACGCAGAGCAGTTGGTTCCTCGCAAGACCACTTGCATTGCCTATTGCCAATACTAGTGCTGTATATTCTTGGAGGGTTTAGACTGAGACTCATGCGCACATGTAATGGATTGAATTGGGTGGGCAGATCCGCCTGGTGCCCCGTCCATACCGCGTCGTACGCGGGGGCCCTGAGTGAGAGTGCACATGGAAGAGGCCAAGCGTCCTAACCATTGGACATAGACTTAGACGGTCCGTATCGAGCTCAATGGTCGAGCCGGACATATTCTGGGGTTGAAGCCAGGAGTGAGGTTTCAGACTCAAACTGGCAGCAACACGATGCACTCTGAACCACCCATTATTCATGCTTAATGCTTAGATGCAGATGTATTTGAACACCCTACTGGGGTAGATTGACTATAAGAGGGACATATCAACCATTGGTGCTTTCTTTCCAGTGAGCGATAATAAGCGGCTTCGCGATGCATATGTGTGGGGCATTACGCAGACTAGACCGTTTAGAACCTTTGGACGGGTGATTTTCAAGCAACCAATGTAGTGGCATATGGCAAGGAACCTCAACGCACAGAGAAGACATGTCAAAGAGCCAATTCACTTTCCGTGCCTTTTTGCTCCACAAATGCAAGGCTTTCTCCTCATGCTGGCGCTCGTGCCATCAGGGAGGCGTTGCTCGCAACAAGTTGCAATGAATTGCATGTTTTAGTAGCGTGCAACTGCCTGGTGCATTTTTGGAAGCATGGACCCTAGGTTTTGTTCAACCAACGCAAACGATGCCACTTGTGGTTCTATACTTTGAGCAGGCCTTGGCTGCTGCAAAGGCGGCACCGAAAGACGGAGAGGAAGAGAAGGAAGCTGCAAGCGAAGAAAGCAGCAGCCCGTGCTATACTCAGGGGATAGGGGGCAATTTTTGGCTACTCAGTGAGGAGGACTCCTGATGGTTCTTGGCGGCGATTGCCCACATAGCAACACACACCAGCATCTATCTATACATATATATATATATTTATTTTTTTCCCCTCAACCTGTCTATACACAAAAAAGCTACCACTGAGGAAGCAGGAAGCGTCTTCGTGCTGTTCTTGTTTCCTCAGATCCTTTATGTTAATATAGACCAGGACAATGTCGCTTCTAGGGTTAGCAACATGATCTGCATGGGCTCACCGGTCATTTCCAGGCCTCCCATGGTTTTGACCAATAGTAGAGTGCCTGGAGCCACCACAGGTCTGAAAAGCCCAAAAAAGAAAAAAAGAAGCGGAAGAAGAGGTGGACAACTTGACACTGCTCCGTGCAGAAGACTCAATAAAAGGATATGAGAAGATTGCTTAGAGCTGTTCAACTTTGAGACAGGCGAAGAAAGAGCAGTTCTGGAAGCTCTTCCAGTCGTGCGCACAAAAAGAAGAAGGCACTTGGTGTCGGTGGCGGTTAGAAGGATACTCTGCACTATTCTGACGCTTGAGGCGAAAAAACACAAAAGCAAGCCGGGCACTTGGTCAATCATGGCTACGGACACAGAGTTGCAAGCGTTGCCCGTTTGTTTGCCTTCAGCTCTGAATGGTAGTGACCTAAGGGGTGGGTCTTCATCAAGTGGAGGCTCCGTCAAATCTAGTAGGCCGGGCGCGACTGAGAACTTTGGTGTTGAACAGATGCTAAGCCAAGCACAGTGATGATATGGTGCCAAGCCAGCTGGTTCACTTGTAGTCTCACCTAAGTGGCTTCGTTAGTGAGAGCCACTAAGCTATTTTGTACTTGTACTTTGTTTGTTGAGTTGTGTGGTAGAAGGGATGGTGGGGGTCCCCTTAGTTAGCAGATGTTCCCGTCATCATCAGCTAGCTTTGCAGGAGCAAATCAAGTAGCAGTGCTTGTGTCATGGAAGAGCCAGTCAAAGAGGCCGCGGTGTCCGCAGCCCAGAAGAGTAGTGTGCTGCGCACAAATGGATAAATAAGTACATTTAAAAAAAAAATATATATACACACATATATATATGGATCTCTATGAATCTCAGTGGCAGTGACACAGTGACGGGTAACACCCGCGCCGCACTGCCCTCCTACCAAGGCCAGTCAGCAGCAATCCAGACATCGACAAGGACGCAGGGTTCACCTGATCACCCTAAGCCCAAAGTCCCCCAAGGTCTGACCATAAGAACCTTGGGATTATCATAGGTTCTTATATTGTCATCAACCGTTCTTGGTCCCAAGGTGGTTTCCCCTGCCTTCCTTAAGAATCACTTGACCGATTGTCACTTCAGAGAAAGTTGTTCAGTTGGAAGGCCAAGCAGGAGGCTCTGGAAAAGTTGCTGAAACTCAAGTGCCTTGGCTGCACAGTCTTGTGGCTGGAGTCACATTCCTTTGATGAGGGATGATGTGACACCTTGTAATACCATGGCTTCGTTTGATCCTTGCTGACCGGGGCCGTGATCTGATCATGTCGGCCGAGGACCGTGGAGCCGAAAGAAGCGAGGATGAAGGAGTGGAGGGAGCTTTTGCGGCAATGGCATCCAGACAAGAATCCGCAGAGGATTGAGGCGAGACATGTCAGAGACCTGTTGAATTGGTGGCTCTAATTGCTTTAGTTGGACGAGTTCTCGAAGGAAAAGCCCGGCAGATGGCCACACCTGGATAACAAGGAATAGAATCGAACTAAAGGGAGGGAAGCCTTCTACTTGAAGATGGCTGTAAGCTGAGCTAGCCGAGGGGTTGACCTGCCGCCTTTCACTTGCCTCCAAAAAATCTATCCTCTTCACTTGATGTTCCTTGTCGTGCCCTGATGTTCTTTGCGTCGTGCTCCCTCAGGTGGCGACAGCCGTTTTCCAGTTCTTGCAGAAGGGCAAGCCAATGCTGGATGGAGCTTGAGTTGCATGAGTAGCTCGAGCCGATAAGGGTGTCACATAGATCTTTAATCCGTTGTGTCCCTCTGAAAGTGAAATCATTCTCTACTAGAAGGCAATCCTCATCACGATCACACTTGTGGGATAATTTGATATTCGAATATGAGAAAGGTTGTTCTTCGTTTTCTTCGACAAAGCGCCACAGTGGCAAATGGAAGGCCAGTCCAACATAGAGCATTTACTGTATATAGATTTAGGTCCAGTTGTCTTACCACAGGGCATACACTGGCACAGTATTGGACACCTCACGGCGTGTCACCTGATCTGACGGCATCGATTTGCTGCCACGAAAAGGGGCCAAAGACAGTGGTGCCATGGAAGTGCCATGGAAGATTTGCTCAAAATTTGACAACAAAACTGTCTTATTAACTCTGTTGATTGCACATTTCTCTCACTTTGCCCGTGGGTTTACCAGTTTGCCCTTTGAGGTTGTGTGAGGGTATGCAAGATGTTTCCAATTCCTGACTTCCTGGGGAGCGCCGGTACCAAACAGGACAGTCCAGCGCCGCTCATGACACGCATCGGCTTGGGCGGCTGCCGAGATCTCCAGGCATGACGAGCTGCTTGAGGGTGGGAAGACTGGTGAAGTATGAAATCGATTTTTTTCACTGCAAATGAATGCAACTGATGACATGCAACCTCCGCATAGGTTTTGGAGTAGACTAAACGACGTGTTGTGGACCAGCTCGGATGGAAAACAGCTCAGCATCACTGTGGGACTTCGGAAAACAGCTCAGCATCACTGGATGAGTTGTGTTTGCAAATGCTGCCCCTGTGACGACTTGATTCTTGGTGACCCGTGGTGATCTGATGACGCACTGCGCTTTCAGTGGCGCACTCCGGTGGTTTTGCACTGGTGATGATGATTTGCTTGGAATAGCTTGCAGCGAGCCTGCATCCTGTGTTGTGTGCATTGTGCACAGGCCAGCCTGCCCCACATTGTTCATACTTGCCGTGAAAGCTAGTGTTGTACATACCGTGCTTCATGGTGGCCCTTCCTCTGGTGTGAAACGGCAGATAAAGCATGATTTTTGCAACAACAGCACTTTGGACATGAACGTTAGCCACGCGCGCAGACTTGCGAGTTAGTGAGTGAGTCAGTCAGTTTGCCTGAGTGAGTGAGTGAGTGAGTGAGTAGATTGGAAGTGGCTTTGCATGATTCAGCTGAATGAGCATTTCCTACAGGCATGATCTTGGCCAGAGGCTCAAGTTGGGCTCAAGGATCACTATCTTTGATTGATAGGTCTGACTCTGAGAGTCTCATGATGCAAGGCAGTCTGAGCAGACAGCAAGGATTTGCTGAGATGCCTCGCTTGCTTGGCCACTTCATGAACGCAAAGGACTCAAAGGATCCCGATGATGAGAGTGATGCTTTCGCCAAGCTGCGAACATATGTTGTGCAAAATGCAAAGTCCGAGAACAGCTGCTTGGATGATGGCGTTGATGAACAGACCATGGATAACTTTCTTCACAAGCTCAACGACTTTGGAGGAAGGAAACCAGTTCATCTAAATCAGATCGATGAGGTTCTCAATGGGCTTCAAAGTGGTTCACACGGTGGATGGACTTCACAAATCAACAAAGTTCGAGGCAAGTTGGACAAGCTTACATCGCGGACACCATCTTCTTGCCCAAGCCCAAGCGAAGCCGTGGCTTCTGGCTCGCAACGCTTCTCGCCAGGTGCTGTGGCGCTCGTGGACTTGACCACAGAGGGTGCCCTACATGGTAAGTGTGTGAAGCTCCTCTCTGTTGATGCGAAGAGAGGTTGGGAGGTAGAGGACCTTTTCGACGGCAGCAAGCACACAATTGCAGAAGATTGCTTGCGATGCCCCAGCCAAGAGGATGTGGCCGCTTGGCTCCAGGAGTTGACTTTCATTCGGGAAGATGCTCCAGAGCATCTCATGAAGCTGCACCAAGCTTTGGAAACGCTACTTTCACTCTTGCATTTTGCAGAGAAAGACGAGCTTCGCCGGAGGAGATTGAAGGAGATTTGCGCCTCATACCAGGTCAAGTGGAAGCAAAGTCTCACCGACAAGGACTGGAGGCAAAGTCTCGGCTGGCAAAACAACTTTGGTGAACAGCTTCCTTGCTTGTGCTTTGGCGAGTCACGATTCATGGAAAGGAGACATGCTGCCAACCGATGGCCTTGAAAACACCACCGCTGTGACCATGTTTGCCTTCGGGAAGACGGAAAGCAGACAGATCACAGTGCGAACTGAAAAGGTGCAAATGCTGGAAGGCAAGGCTGAAGATTCCAAATTGCAACGCCAAACGAAAGTGGATAGTATGCAGCAGCTGCAAGAGAAAATGCCGGGACTCTTAAAGCAGCTGTCCAGCTCTCCATCCGATTTCAGCCGGCTCCTTGTGGAGATGCCTTACCAGCTGAATGTGACAACACCCTCCCACGACACCAACTCCAACACCAACGCCACCATTCATCCTTCCGAGGTTGTTGTGGACTCTCCAGGGTTGGACTCTCCTGGCATCAAGCGACATTTGGTGTCTGTGCTGGATCAGAAGTGCTTCATTTTGTGCTTTGTGGTTGACCTAACATCCCCATCACCCTTTGGCAAAGATGGATTTGAGGTCTTGCAGTTCCTCACGATGAGATCTGAGTTGATGTTTCCTGCCATCATTTTCACAAAGTGGGAACTCTTGAGCGAGATGTCTACCTTGCCTCGTTGGAAGAAAGGAAATCCTAAAGGGCTCGAAGCACGGATCAAGGGCCTAGTGAACCTCCTGCTTGACAAACTTGCAGAGGCTGGAATTCGTTACACCCCCTTCTTTGCAGATGTCGATGCTCTCTCAGCTTTTGATGGCACTTGCAACCCTGAAGCCGCGGAAGCCCAGAACAATGCCAAAGATGGATTTCAGCTATTTGTGCGGGATCTTGTGCAGCTTGGGAGAAGCATCGCAAATCCCACAAATCAATGGAGGATTTTGCAGGTTCAGAATCAGACGACCCAACAGATTCTCAATGAAATCTACAAAGAGGAGGGGGTGAGGCTCTTGGCGGCTGAAGACATGAGTCAGCTGAAGGCATTAGGTACGACATTGAAGGAGCAATTCCAGACGGATGTGGAGGACTATTTCAAGAACATTGAGTGGACAGAGTTTGGACTAGCAGACTTCAAACCCTGTGCTCCATTCAATCGAGATACCTGTGCTATCAACCAGATCCCCGACGAGTTGAAGACAGTGTTGAATGCTTACCGGGATGAAAAGCCCGACATTTGGTCCAAGGCCACCGCAGTTCAGGAAATTGCAGAAAGGACGCTGCGAAAAGTCCAGGAAAGGATCATCACAGACCTTAGCAAGTATGAGGCTGATGCTCTTGCCAAGTTCAGAGCTTTCCTATCGAATCAAAAACTGAACAAAGACTTCCGCCTCGGCTTTTCCTTCTTGCAATATGCCATTGCAGTGGGCATGAGTGGCATGTCCGTGTTCGCAGGGGTGTTCACTGGCAACGCAGTTTTTGCAGCTGGTCTTACTGCGACCGGTCTTGCCACAAGCCTTGGCATTTTGACCGGTGGTGTTGGTGTCGTGGTGATCGCGGGATGGTTGGCCAAAGATGAAGTTGGCGTTTGGAAATGGACAGATGCACACAGAACTGCTTTGAAGGTCGTCCTTGAAGCATGTCAGAGAAACTCGCAGCAGTTGCGGGACGATGTCATCAAAGGATTTGAGGAAAAGCTTGATGACACCCTGAAAAATCTTGAAGAGCACCGCATCAATCCAAATCCAGCGGCCTCCCAGTGCAATGCTACAAGGATTCACGAGATGGCGGGGAAGGGCTACACAGATGTTGCCAAACAATTGATGGAGGTTCTGGAGGGGAAGAAAGATCGGTGGCTTGGCAGGCCATCCAAGTTGAAGGAGATTTGCGAAGAGGTGCTCAAGCAGAGGGAATCAGCATGACTCGCTCAACTCCCTCCTCTCTTCAATGTGGTGATGTGAGCACGAATGCAATTGCTGGCTTGCTCGCCTGAAGTTCCACAGCACCCACCCATCCACAAGTTTTGGGTGAGGTGTGGCGGTGGCACTACCTCCGCCAGGGCAGCAAGTTCAACTGCTTTTTTAATGCAATGAAAGGTGAGTCAAGGTGCAAAATCTGTCCTTTCCGAGAGTCAAAGCCATGTTTTTCAGACTGTAGCGAAAGTCCAGTGTGATCAGCAAGTTGCCAGTCCAGGCTGAGGCTGAGAACTCCGACGACTTCTTTCGTGCGTAGCACCAACATAGTGGTCGCATCACTTAGAGGCAAACGCTTGTGTTCCCGCAGCTTTGTCCAGCAGGACCTAAACGGCAAATAAGGGGGTCCATTTCAGCTTGCTGCAGTCGCAGAGAAACCTGATGTCTTGTTCTTTGTCAGAGATTGGATGGGCAAGCCGTGCATAGTCGACCCCTTTTCACACTTCTGACTTTGGTGTACTTTCTTGTGAGGCGGTGGGCCAACTCCTGTGCAGTGGCCCATCCTTCTTGTCCAGGAAATTGGTCTGCGTCACTCGTCACATTTCGACCATGACCATTTGGGACACTGCGGCGGAGGGTGCAATGAGACGTGTATAAGCACTTCTTTAGTTTAAGGCATGCTGTTTACATCGTCCAATGCTGTTCTTGACATGTTGGAATTGGCTGTGTTTTTTTGAGAACAGTCTTCATCCTGACTGGCAGCTGTTTGGCTGAAGATGGGTCTCACAAGCGGCCTTGCTTGGCTGGCCATGCGCGAGAATGCCAGTTGCCAACGTGCCCTGGCCAAGTCATCAGATTGGAGTGAAGCACGGCAGTCTCGTTTCACGTTTGGCAGTTTGTATGCCAAGTTTTTTCTATCTTTTGGGAAGGATCCCTAAGACTACTGTACTTCTTTCTCAGGAAGATGAACCACTCTTGTCCAACTCGAAGTCGTGCAACGTCTGGTGCGACAGCTCCAAAGTGATCGTGCAAGATGAGCATGAGCACCTTGGTGACAGAGTGGTTTGTGAGGCAAATCAACTGGGAAAATGAGATTCTTCGTCAATATGTTCGTGTGATTTTGTGCAAGCATATGTGTCGGCTGCCAAGGAAATATGTTTGCCATTGTTAAACAGTATTGTTATATGATTGTGAGGGTTTTGTCTTGAAATGATGCCTGTCACGCCTGCAGTTCGCTCCTTTGTGAGGCTCACCGGAGAGGTCCTCCCCGAAGTGTCCGAGCAGTTCACGCTGCAATGGCTCAAGGTGCCATTTCACCGGGCCCCAAAGAAACCCAAAGCGAAGCATGCCCACTCCAATACCATGGTTTCGGGCTTGCTTTATGTCTGTCGGATCCCGCGAGTAGGGATGGGCTTGCCGGTGGGGTTGAAGGCAGGAGGATACTCTCCTTTGCTATGATCCGCTGGATTCACCTTAAGAGTGGGCCGAAGTAGAGGAGCATAGCCGGGTCGCAGATGCCATGGATAGCCCCCCGGAGAAGAGAACGCCTACATCCTGCAATATCATTTGTAGAATCGGGAAGGGTGTGACGACTCAGATTTGAAACCACATGCCAATTGAAAACCGTTAGCAACCCACACCAGTCCTCTTCTTCTACATCCTTGCAAAAACTCTTTCAGTGCTAAAATTACCTGTGTAGTGTAGTAATATATAGTCCAGTAGTCCCCGCTGTATACTGTTGCCGTGCATGAAAACCACATTAGTGACTCAGTAGTGCAGTGCCTGGGCCAGGAGGAAGCTGAAGAGGAGGATGTGGTCCGCGTGATGACTCAGCTCTTGGCGGCGCGGCCGGAGCTGGAAGCATCACTGAAGCTTGGCATCGGAAGGGAGAAGAGCCATGAACCGGTGATGCACCAACAGCCCAGAAGGACCCAAAGAGTAGAGTAGTCCCGTGCTAATTGACGGTGATGCGAGTGGCTCGACAGTTCCCACAGTTCCACAAAAGGCGAAAGGTTGCAGAAAGAAAGACACGTGAAATGTTACAAGACAGGTCCAGCTTCCCAAACCATTCAGCAGGGATCTAAGAACAGGTGGGCCATCGAGTTCTGCGCATGGAACCCTGGAGGTCCTGCCCAGGATTCCCCAAACATTCAGGATGCATTGTCTAGCCAGCCGCCTTCTCCGAGGCTCACGGCCATCAACGCCTGCCAAGTGGGGATGCGGACGCTGCAGCGGAAGTCCACCTGGCCCAGCTTCTTTGACCCTGGCATGGAGCACCAGGAGGCCTGACATTTCCGCACAGAGGTAGAAATTGGGCTGTCACCTGCTGAAGTGGTGAGGAGAGACTCCAATGACAATCGTGCTAAGACCGAACGCCTTGACAGTGAATTGTTTTTTTGGTAAAGGTTCATGAGGAGGATTTCCGGCAATTCTTTCCCCACGGTGGATTAGAGTCTAGAGACCGTGAATGGACGCTTTGGAGGAAGAGGTGAGATAGAAGTTTCATATTTTTTTTAAAAATCTTTAATTCATGTGTGTCTCTGCGGCAGTTCAATCCTAGCTTTGGATGCCTTTGCCCCGGTTTGCCAGGAAGTCTTGGAGGATCGACCCACGGATGTGCCCAGGACCGGGAACAGCTCGTGCGCACGTTTCGTTGGGTGCTTCCGTGCCCATCGTTTTGACCGGTCCACCCAGTCACCCAGCTCCATCACTCCATGAAACGGTGAGGCTCCGCTTTACCACCTGCAGCTACTTTGTGGGCGAGGAGGAGGAGAAAGTGGAGATTGAGGTGAGACTGGTCTATCATGGCCCGCATGGCCTTGATTTTCACGGAGTGAATGGTTTTTTGAGGCATAAGCACGGCATAGATGTGCTTGAACTGGACCCCCTGAGAAACATGGCCTTAGCCCTTGTGGCTTGTGGGTTTTTAGACTTTAGCAGGCAGAAGCCACAGTTGCAGGTCCCGGAAGGTGTGACATCCAGGATTTCACAGCACAGGGATACAGTACCAGCCAGTTTCTTCCATTTGATCCCGGCTGGCATCGCATCTTCCATTTGACTTCCAAAATGCTGGCCTCTACTAGGGAGACCCTCTTGAGAGATCCTGAGCGTTAGTGACGTCAGGTGACTCGGTCGGGGAACCTGAACTATCCGCCAGACGCCCGGAGATCCCTGCTTTGCTGCAAGTGCTGCCATTTTCAACTGCTGACCCACATTGACCGTTTGGGTAGGCAGTTAGCTTTTCTGCTTGTCCATGGATTGTTTGCCGCATTTGTTGTGTCTCTCTACTCCTTTGAGTGTGCTTGGCCTTGCTGGGCTGAAGTATGTCCTGTTTCCTCCCAGCGGCCTTTATCCAAAAACCGATGAAGCAGCATGAAACGCATCATGCCTTAGTGCTCCAAGCTGCCATGTTCGCTGCGCAGCTGAGGTCCAAGGTTCACCTACATACGAACGACTTGTCTGCTAAGGCGCGGCTTCGCACCGCCGTGCGGCAGTTCGACTTGGCCCACCTGACATCGACGACGTCCCAGAATCTACGGGGCTTTGTGTGTGGTGTGCACACGAAATATCGGTGTTTCTGTACATACAACGTCTGACGCACTGGTTGGGAAGGTTGTTCTTTTTGTTTTGCACCCAGTGCAGCTCAGGGTGGTCAATGCCGAACAAGCACTATCCCACTTTGTGAGTGCAATGTTTCTTCACAGGCAGGTGTGAACTACGTTCCGGAAAGCAGGATGTCGAAAGCTCAGATTGGGATAACATCCTGCAACTCTCCTCCAGACGACGTGCTATGTCACCCCGTCTTGGGATGTCTTGGGAAATGCGCATCTTCCCGATCAGCAATGCTGGTTCTGCTTTGATACACAACCGGGGCTGCAAATTGACCTAGGCTTGTCTTCAAACCTGGCGTGGACTCGATCACCGTGAGCGTAACTCTGATCGTGGGTTGGCTCAAGAACTTTCAAGACCGACTGGTTGACTTGGATGACGCAGATCCCAACCTGGGGGGTCTCCCAACCTGGGGATGCTGAGGCCAGTGATGAATGGTCTCCCACCTTGGAGTTCGAGGCGTGCTTCGGGGTTTTGAGAGAAAAAAGCGTTCAGATGTTTGGATTGGTTAGAGGATCCCGGTGCCACGGCGCTTTGCAATCACGCTGTCGGAGCGGGTGACATAAGGTGATATTAGAGTCTTCGAGCACGGCGAATGCCGAGCTGGATGTCTATGGCAGATGCGCACGCGTGAAGATTGACGACAAGGACAATCGTCAACCAATGTAACACAGCAAGCAAAGGTGCACTGCGATGTGTTACTTCAAAGATCTTAAAAGCAAGATTTATATAGCTTTTGCTATGGAGGTTTCTAGCTAGTGGGCAATTCCTGAGCCATTCAGGATGCATTTCCATCCAACGTGGTGGATGTGCGCAAGCTCTCGAAGAGCTTATCCTGGGAGCACTTGAGGCACGGCATATGCGCTACCAGTGAAACGGCGTGAACGATGAAGCAAAAAGTGCTCGTAGTCGGACAAGAACATAGTGGGATCACCATCACGCCAAACGAAAACGACCCTGCCTCGCTCATGTTCCAAAGGCTTGGCATTTTCTGGCCACTGTGCCTTCAAATTGTCCTTCTTCTTTTGGCTTCCAACATCTTACAGAATTGGACGTGGCAAGGCAAGCGTTGGAGAATGCTCCCCTCTTGATCTTGATGTCGGAGTACTTGAAGCTCAACTTCCGCAATGACACGGTCCGACGAGGCACCGGGATGCACCGCGTTGAATCATTGGAGTCCGGCTTGACCTTCGTTCTCCGAGCGGGTTGGACAGGCACAATCAAAATGCTGATGGCGCTGCAATGTCATCACCTCTATGGAATCTTGAGGCGACCGGCCGGTGACCGGTGAAATCGGTGACCGGTGGCCGGTGACCAATCACCGGGTGTTGCCAGCAAAGCTGTTCTACTTTTCAGGTGTTCAAAGCTTTCTGTCTCTTTTTGGTAATTTTTCCCTCCGGGTGGGCAGGGTGGTTGGGAGGTATTGGCATTTCTGTTTGAGGTGGCAGATGGGCTTGATCAAAGTTTGCAGTTACAGTGCGAGTATTTCCAAAATGTTCCTACCTCAGGACATGCCACGTTCACAGGGCCTTATACTCTCCGGTTTTGTGGGGAGCACGCCGATGGGGAAAATCATTTCCCCATTGACCAGCTGATTAATTTTGTACTGTGATGTTCTTCCATTGTGTGGCAGATACTGGTGGGAGACTCTATCTCACACAAGATCGTTTGGAGACGGGGACGAGCAAACACGGGGACGAGCAAAACCACATCAGCCTTTGCAACTGCCTCTGCCCTTCCCAAAAAAGCTCAACATGCTGGACCACAACAAACATGGCAAAGCATGGGAAGTAATTACAGTAAGCAGGAAGATGCTTCTCAACCACTGTTCCTTTCAACAAATTGAGCCGTGCGATACGCGAATGTATCATGTTGCTATGTTGCATGTTCATCGGTACCACCCACCTTTTTACAAAGGTGACTGATCATAGGCTCGCCCTGAAACTTAGTGTGAATGGAGCAAACTCAGCGTGAAGCAGAGGAAACTCAGTGTGAACTAGATGAAGCTCAGTGCGACGCAACATTTTGCAGGTCTTCATCATATATGCCATTCATGAACTATATAACTCAGTTTTTAATTTGTGATTTCCTGAGGCCTTAGTTAGTTAGGAACTGTAGGAAGCAGCCGAGGACCTGATGTAATGACAGCAGGTTATGGAAAAGGTCCCCATCCTTCCAGAGCGCAGAAACAATGCCGTCCCTGGCTCGTGAAAAACGCGCTCTGCAGGTTGTTTCTCAGCGTGCTGCTGGTAGACAAGGTCTTCAAAGGTGGCGAGGAATTCCCCTCCGAACCGCCGCAATCATTGTCGGACTTTTTGCATAGCCGCCTGCGCCTTAGACTCTTAGGGTGCGATGTCAAAGGGCTTGCTGAAATAAGTTGGAGTGATATGCTGAAGGCTCAGCAGTGTTCTTGCTCCATTAGAAGACTCAGATCCCGCCAACGTGCTGCTTTTGTAGTGCCAGTGCTACGCTACCATAATTTAGTTTAGGACTCGTTCATCTGAGGGTAATAGTAATAAGATGTAACAAGTAGCAATCTTCATGTACACAAGAAACCATCAACCACCAAACCCGAGATTTGCACATCATGGCTTTCAGGCCCCGGCATGCTGGTCTGCGTGATGTGTGGGATGTTAGTGCCTTTTGCGTTTCTCCACTACCTGGACTATGTTTCTATGACCTGGAGAGTGGGCCAGAACCTCAATGCTTTTAGATTAGCTCGCTATGAGATGCACCCACCAACACGATCCACCCTCAGGCGGAGCATCGCGAGCACAGCTTCTGTCGGCATTGGTGAGAAGACTGCTGCACTACGATGTCTCTTCCAGGAGATGCACCAGTGCTCAGCAGACTCAGCAGTGCTTGACGACATTTGTCCTTTCCACATGCTTGCTCGGACAGCCTAGAGATGAGATTGCTGCGGTTAGCTGTACCCCAGGATTGACATCAAGCAAGGTGCCGAAATCATGGCTATGTCCAAGGATGCAAAGCCGCCTTCGTTTTTGTTCCTTTGCGTTGTTGCAATGTTTTGTGATGATTTTAGTGAGTTGTTCCTTGTTGTGTGTGAAGGATGTGGAAGATATTGTCCAGAATGGCTATATGGGAGTTTTGGAGATCATCTCTCATTTGCAAAACCTTGCCACGGCCAACTGCTCAGCTTGTCAGCTGAAAGTTGTGACGCATCATTGGTTTGCGTTTTGTTAAGCCATTAAGCTTCCAAAGTCACAAGATGGATGGAGTTATGATTTATGTGAAGATGGTGGCAAATCTGGTTCTGACATGCACAAGGTCTTGGCATACCAAGTGATTTCCCGGCTGATTCTCCAAGAGCCCATCAGCCCTTGGAGCATTGCACCCTTGGCGGTTCATCCCATCTTGCTCGCGCTTTTTGCCGTTTGCCGCCGCTTGGACATATGAGATGTCGGATGGGAGGGGAACAGTCCGTGGCAATGTAAGATCCTTTTCTATGTGTAGCAACTGCGTAACGGCCCTGCCCATGGGGCCTACTCAGGTCGTTCTGCCACGATTCACGTCCAACAGGCCGAGAATGTCGAGCGAGCCTCCCTGGTGAGCCAAATGCAAAGCGTCGGGATCCCCGTTTTCCACGCCATGCGCCACCATGAACATTGTAAAACGGATTGGCAAAGATGTGGGTGGATCATGGTGCACCCACTGCCTGGTGATTGACCTTAACAAGCCCATTCCGCACGCACTGAGGTCACGCTGAACAACACCATCATCCGGAATTTGGGCGGAGTCGCGAAAGCGATTGATCAATTCGAGCGGGGTATCGCTTCATTCAATGCCTCCTGCATCAACACGATGCAAGTCATGAAGAATAACATGTATTTCGCGAATTGGATGGGATTGGTGATGCTGGCTGCGTGGGGGACTCAGACGCTGTATGCTAGCACTGCTATGGGCGGATCTTGGGCGCCACTCTTTTGCGCTGCCCCCTGGAGGCCCCCTCGGGAGAAAATGTGAGAAACCTGTCCGGTGATAGCGAATAAGGGCAGTCTCAATACCAAGGTACACACTGGTTGGCGGACTGGAAGTTGTGGATGGCAAGATGAGGCCCGAACTTCAATATCAAAAGCCAAGCTCAATCAAACCATCACTCCATATTCCATGTGTGTTGGAGTGGTTTTGACAGGATGGGTATTTTTCTGGCAGACATCACCTTGTTCACACAGATCAACATCACCTGGAGCATGATTTGCAGCGCCTTGCTCGAACAGCCAGCAGCAATGTCCTTTGAACATACTGTAATCTTCTGTAGCTCACCTGGGCAGACCCTATCCCTTTGTCAATCTCACATGGTCAATACGATGGCGCACAGGCATTGGTTGAACAATTACGCTTGTTGATAGATATGAAAGGATGGTATATGATTGCCCCCGCTATGCTCTCAGGTCGTGGTGTCGAGATCAACAGCATACTGCCCGGGCTTGAGCGGGTGGCATGCTCAGTGAAGCCCGAATAAGCCCCATGCACAGAAGCAGCGAGCAATCGGAGCGAGGCAACGCAGAAATCCATCGTGATCGATCGTGACGCGAAAGTGGTCGTCGCACCTCGTCTCGGACTCATCTATCTCGTTATCGGATCCAGCTCGAGGTGGTGATCTTGATGAACCTTCCAACCGATTTGCCAGATCGCCGCAAGCTGCTGAGGCGGGAGGTCTATTAGGTCAGGGAATGCTCGAGAAAGCTTGGAGCCTTTCTCAGGAAGCCATCTTCACTCCTTTGCCCGTTATATAGGGTTCCATCGAAACGCGTATATACTGTGTATATATATACATACATACATACACACACACATATATATATATACACACGTATATACTATATATATACTGTATATATCCACATATACTATATACATATATTTACATGTTTAATAATATATACTCTTTCTTCACCTGCAAGAAACCCAAGCTTTTGGCTCGTGTCCAGGCATCTTGTGTCCGCTTCGCGCGGGATGCGGAGCATCATGGAGACCAACAGCCCTGAAAAGCGGCTGCATTTGGATGACTTGCCACTCTTCTTGAAGGCCGAGGACTTAAACATCTTGCCTTTGCTACATGCCTGATGTGCATGATGCCTGAGAGTCAGTCACGATAGTTGTGATGATCGGGATGCAAATACCGTAAAGGAAGCTGCTTTTGCGCCAACCAGGGTTGAGTTCAGGTTTGCCAGGCAAACAAGACCCCTAATGAATTCTAATGACTTTCAAGACATGCGAGGTGAAAAGAAGTCACTCTCTCTGCTGTCAGGGGCCGCTCATTGAGTTTTCCGTGAAGTCCCAGCAGGGAGAGTTCTTCATTCGAAAGGCCACAGGATCGACACGAGAGACGTGGTTAGAGAACATCTTGCGACCTGCAGGTTGCCCTACAGCTGAGTGGGGAGTTGTACATACATCAGGGAGAGTCTGGGGCTGAGCGCCAGATCATCTGAAGGGTAGCGTGGGTCTTTGTTTTGGTAGTTGTAGTAGCAGTAGCAGCGGTAGCAGTAGCAGTAGCAGTAGCAGTAGCAGTAGCAGTAGCAGTAGGAGTAGGAGTAGTAGCAGCAGCAGCAGTAGTAGTAGTAGCAGTAGGAGTAGGAGTAGGAGTAGGAGTAGTAGTAGTAGTAGTAGTGGTAGTGGTAGTAGTAGTAGTAGTAGTGGTGGTAGTAGTAGCAGTAGTGGTAGTAGTGGAAGTGGTAGTCCTAGTCCTAGTCCTAGTCGAAGTAGCAGTAGCAGTAGCAGCAGCAGCAGCAGCAGGAGGAGGAGGAGTAGTAGTAGTAGTAGTAGTGCTAGTGCTAGTGCTAGTGCTAGTAGTAGTAGTTGTTGTTGTTGTCGTCGTTGCTGACAGCGGAACCCATCATCAGAGGTTCATTGCGTTGGTGGGCCTGCATGGCCACGGAAAATCCTCCATCTTGAAGATGTTTGGTGGAGAGCTACTTCCTGGAGAAGGCCGCTGCAACTGAACCTTTTGGAGTGGTCTGGAACCGTTTCCCTCCCTAACCCGTGATCCTGGGTTAAAGAACTCGAGCTAGAGCTCCCAATCCATACCTCTCAAAGCTCGCCAAGACACAGAAAGATGAATAGTACGTTTTGTGTTTCAGACTTTGTGCTCCTGATCTTCGAGGAAACTTGCCTGGCTTCTTTGTCCCTCCACACCTTCGGGTGCCACACTCCAGATGGCAACTCTCAGATGTGTACCGAATACATCCCGCAGTCAATTCTTCTCCGCAGACTGTTGGAGCCTTTTGCCGAGGTGTTGCATGTTGGAACTGAGCCGGGCCTCTTCCATGGCACGCTGTATGACAATCTGATCTTTGGCGTTGCTGAAGGCATGACTTCGCTCCAAAGCGTTTTGCCACTTTCATTGTCCGAAGCATTGTCCTTCGTTCTGACCTACAGAGATCTACACAGGTGCCCACAGAGATGATGCAGACAGGGAGCGCGTGCTGGCCTCAGACAGTACTTGGAATGTGCTCATCTTTGTGACTCAATCCCAAGTGAGCTGCAGAACTCCGGTCCTTCTGGTGGAAAACAGATGAAAACAGTATAAAGGCATACAAAGGCCATAATCAAGGATTCAATCACCATTCTAATTTCTATTTTCATGGTTACTGCCTGAAACACATTTTAACTATTTCACAAGTATCTCGAGGTCAAACACATTTGCCAACTTTTGGCTCTACCGGAGGACTAGCTTAAACTCCACTGCTTGAGATCGCTGGACCAGATGGTGTGTGGCAGGAAATTCTGGCCCTGCTGGATGTGCCTGACAAGCTTTGTTGGGATCAGGCACGAGGACAAGAGGATAAGAGGAGAGGCTTGAGTGTACAAGTATGCTCTTGTGACTCTTCTGACAATATGTTGTTACTAGGTTCTATCTCACACTCAGCAAGCCAAGCTTGGTCTTGCTCGAGCATTGGTTGTCAGCAACTCAGACATATCTAACAGTTCTTGTGAGGGTGCTGGCGGTACTGATAGTCAGGCCAATCCAGACGTCCTTCTTCTCCATAAGCCAGCAATGCCATATGACGTGATGCCCCCAGTAGTGCAAAGCCAACCACAACCAGTACGCACAGGCTTGAACACGGGAAGTGGGCGGTTTTCCGCTGCCGGACCCCCCCCCAACAAGCATGCCTGTGCCTACGTGGATTTCAGCTTGGCTGATTTGCCTTTGAGGACCGGACCTCTCACATGGTTCTGGAGGTGATCAAGAGCCACGTCAAGAATCATGGTGTTGGATACGCCAAAAAGCCGCTGATGAGGCTGGCAGTGGCTCATGCTCGGAACACCGGCATTTGCTCACAGCCATGGGAAGCCTGGTTGGTGAGAGATGTTGGTCAAACTTTTGACGAACAATGTAAGGAAGACATGCATTGGCCCAAACCCGGGTGAACAACTGGTGAACCATGGTGAGCAATTATATATATATATAGTTACTATAGTTACATATTTTGTTATACATACATACATACATACATACATACATACATACTGTGATTGACACAAAGGTAGCAACAAAAGATCCTCCTTCCCTCGCACAGCCGCGTGCGTTTTCCACTCACAGCTCACCTGAAGGTTGGTACGAACGGTCGGGCGCCTCGCCCTGCAGTGTCCTCACTGCTTCTATGGCTCAGGTCACGGGTGACCCACCCTACACCACCCTTGCGGCCTCGCACACTCGTGGCTTCGGACGTGAACACGCCTGAGTGGGTCAAGACTGGTTCCTCAGTGACCGAAAGGTTCGAAATTCACACTCATCAAAAATTCTATCAATCTTTTTCTCTGGTTGTGTGTCGATCATCCTTCTTGCTGCTGGTCTCCCATTAGAGGGATCCCAGACTCAAGCCACCTAAGGCGTGTTCTGCTGTCAGCTCGCTCTTTCAGCACTTGCAGTTCGTCATTTAGTTGATACATGCCTCGTTGCAAAGTGTATCGGAGGAAAGTTCCTTACATCACCTTAGTTAGTGCATCAGCGAGCTGAGCTCCTGTATGAACCCATCTTAATTGAATGCCTTCGAATGGCAAATCTTTTATTGCCTTTGCTTGAAGTTGTGCACGGAATTCCTGGCAATTTGGTTGAGCAGTTCGGGTAACCAAATCATACAAAGATTTGCAATCTGTGACAGCTACTGATGGTGGCAAACACTGGGCTAAGGCTGTCGTAGATTGGATTGGTTTGGGTTCACTCTTAAAAACCTCATGTGGTCGTTTCCAATTGACTTGGGGATTTTGGATCCATGCCCAATAGAGTCTCATCCAAGATAGCTGGTCTAAGCTTGTTTGGAGCGAAGTTGTTTCGGCTGACAAAGTACTCGTAACTACTTTCTGGATCTTGCGGCAACCCCAGGACAACGGGCTGACTGGGCATTGATAGTTCTCACTTATATCCCTATGGGTGGCCAAGATGATCATGCCTGTGTGACTTTCTGGGCTCTTGGCTGACGCAAATGATGCGTCCGAGAAGAACAAGAATCTGAGATCCTTGATTGGAATGGGTTGGATTCTAATGCATGTGTCTTTGTATCGCTTTGCTTCTTGAAGTACACGGTTGGCATCGTGCAACGTTTGGACCGTGGCTTTGTTGATCTCACTTTGGATGTAGCTTAGTCGACTTGAAAGATCCGGTCTCGTGTTGATGCTCGCGTACTGAAGACTTCCCACAAGTGCACGGAGCGAGTGTCTCTCTTCGGAGGTCGCTTCATCCGTCAGACATGTTCGTCTGCTTGCATTCATGTGGATTGGCTCAATCTTGCTTACATACTTGGATTGGGACATGATGATACTTTTGTCTGCCTGTTGGTTCATCTCAACACCAGAGAACGTGAATTGACCTACTTTCTTTGATCCAAATGGGAATTTGGCTTCTAGCTTTGAGATTTGTTCTTCAAAGTATTGATCCCCTCCACCTAGTCCATCGTCAACATGAACTCCTAGGACCCCCGAAATTTTGCTTTGTCCTGGTTTGTATAGTACGTATGCGCATGGGTCGAAGGGTGCTGGAATGGAGTTCAAATCACGAAGGGTCCGATCCAGTTCCTTATGCCACAAATAAGGAGCATCGATCAAACCGGAGGCTGATTTTTCGAGTTTGCAGATTTGATTGGGTTGAAGTTTCAATGCCTTTCGAAGTTCTTCAACAGGTTCCAGGCCTAGAACTCGATCTTCCTGCGTTTTGCCTTGCAAAAATGCAGCTTTGATATCGAAGCTTTTCAGAGTCCATCCCATGGATGATATTGCTTGCAACAAGAGCATTTTGGATTGCTTCCCAAGTGTCGGCGAGTCGCGGGGTATGTTGTCTAACTGGGGATCTTGATATCCAAGGACTACTAGACGGGCTTTCGGTTTATGGGTCTTTGGTCCTGGTCTGACGTTCTCAGCTGATCCGGTTTGAAGGTCGTCAGCATCAAGGGGTTTCCATACGCATATCCAGCGGCAACGCATTACCTGTTCCGGACACAGCTGATCCCGAAAGATTTTACTCACCGGCACTTTGTTTAACCAATTTGTGATCTCCTTTTCCTTTGCTTGACGGAAGAGAGCTTGTTCTTCGGTGGACAATTGGTGCATCTTTACTTCTGTTCGGTCACGCTTGGTGGTGGTAGTCATCATGATAAGATCTGTTGCTGGTGAGTTTTCATCCCATGTCATCATTGTTTCTTGGGGAAACAGGAATTCAGCTTTCCATCCTACGGCTTCTGAGTCTATTTGGGCTTGGCGCCAGTTGACCTGATCTTCTACATTTAGCAGGGAGTCACATACGAGTTCATCACTGAGATCGGATGCTTCGCTCGGGGCCGGCACACTTGCTGCACCCTGATGACCGGTGGGGTCACTGAATTCGATGCTTTGTCGGCTCGCTGGAGACTCTTGACTCTCTGGAATTGAGGGCTCTTGATCTGGCTGGACCTCTGACGAATTCGATGTGTTTCCTGTTCCTACGTGTTGTGGGATTATATTGCTATCTTCTTGGCTCTCTGGTGGAGTTGCGGGTGCTTGTTCACGAATGTTGGCATTTTGTGTATCTTCGCCTTCAATCCCTGCGATCGGACTTAGAGCTCTGGGGATATGCTGGGCTTCCATGGCACTTACGGGTCGAACATGTTCAGGGGCTATCTTTACCAAGCTTCCTGCGTGATTGCACCAAAGACAATGAGGACCTTCTTGTTGGATGACTCTGGCTGGACCAAACCACCCCCGTTGGGTTGGAGTCTGTCTCCATAGCGTCACCCAAGTTCCCCTGTCATAGGATCCTCGGTGAGGACAGCTTCGCCGGAGAACAGCTCTTCGCAACGCAGAGCTGTTGTCTGCACAGTGAAAAGCTCGTCGTGCAGCTTCGCGGTATGCCAGCTTTTCTTGAAATCTGATTCCTTCCTGGGTGTCATCGTCTGCCAGGAGGTGCGATGGCAATTGCTCATCCGATGAGATTGATGCTGGAATTCTGGACCCTTTTCCAAAAACAAGAGTTTCTGGGGAGTATCCCTGTTTCTGGCTCAGTGCATTCTTGGCAGAAGTGCAGTGCGATAATGCTGTCTGCAGGTTGGTATATGACGTTATTGGATGTTCCTGTTCATACTTCTTGAGCATTTCGTGTAGGATTCCACCATGTCTTTCTACTTTTCCGATTTGCCAGTGTGCACCTGGTGGGGTAACTATTGCTTTGATGTTGAACTGGCCTAGAAAAGTGACAAATTCCTTGGATGTGAATTCCGTCCCTGAGTCTGTGTGAATCTCAATCGGAGCCCCTGCCCATTGGAGCCATCCATTGAGCACCTTGTCTATTGCATCGTCACTGCTTTTACCTGGGCTTGCACATGCTACCTGGTAGTTTGTTCCATAGTCGATGATGTGATAGAAGTGGAAGTTTGTTCCTGCCAGGTTCGTGTATACAACACCATCTATCCCAATGCAGTCGTTGAAGTCTAGCTCACGTTTGATTGTAGAAGGTCTTTGATGTTTGGGTTCCTTAGTATTTTGACATACGGAACAACTTAGGTCCATGGCAGCTTGACGCAATCGGGGTGAGTACCTCTGTTGACGCAGCATTGAACACAGCTTTTGACCATGAGGGCGTCCTAGGTTCTGATGCAATTTCAGCAAGAACGATTTTTCTTCGGCTGATATGGTCTTGAACTTTGGGCCATGGTCAAAGCTCGGCATATGGAGTTGACTCGAACTCGCTCCTGTCACTTTGGTCTGATCCGGATCCAGCTCTGTGACAGGTGCTTGGTCACTGCTTGGCAGGCTGACGGTTGCCTCCTGCGGCTCGATGCTTGTTCCCGTTGCCTCGGGACTCATATTCTGTTCGGTCGAATCACCTCATGCTTCTGACTTGGATTGGGGCAAGCGTGCATACATTGTGATATTGACTCTTGCGGGATGTGCTGGGCGGACTTGCTGTCGATGAGACAGGTCTTGCCAGTATTCCCAGTCCTTTTCTACTTGGATTACCCCTCCTATTCGGCTTACGATGATGGCACGACGATATGGGGCCTCATTCTTTACCAAATCCCTTGGTGGTGGCAATGTTCGATCTGATCCCTTACATGCTTGAACTTTCTTGATGTCTTTTTCGGGGAACATGTTTTGAAGCCTCTCCAAGATTTGGTGGTTGGTGATAAAAGTCTTCCCTACTCTTGGCAACATTGGTTGGATGTCCTTGATGATTTCTTCTAGTTGTCTCTGAGGTGACATGTTCATGCTCTGCGATTCGGCCGTCTTGCCGTCAATGCGGCGGCGCTTGCACTCGTTCGACAATTGCTCCAGGGGTGTTGGTGGCAGTCGCCCACCTTGGGACTTCTGCATGGGAGAACTCACACGGATCCGCTTGGATGCACTTTCCTCACTCGGTTGATCTATTCCTCTGGTTACAAGGGCAGTAACCCATGGCTCATGTTTCACTTTCAACATCACCTTAGCTACTTGTCTTGCAAACTTTCTTGGATAGTTCTCTGTATAGCTACTGACGGTGATTCTCCCGAGAGGCGTTGTCACGGATCCGGCAATGGGTCTGTGCTCATGATCTCGACGACACACCCGGCCACGCAACGAGGCATACATCTCTTGTGATGTCGTTCTTACAGCCATCCCCTTTTGTATGAGTTTGTTCGTTTCTGGACATGTCAACTGGCCTACGCGACACATGTCGAAATTGGCTTCCTGAGTATATGCATACAGCTCTTGCAGGAGTGGGGTCTTGAACATGATGGATTTTCGTGGCTGCTCCCAGTGCATGTGGTTTCCTAGCTGACGTGACATGCGAAGCAAGACTACTCCTAGTGCAAGTTCGAACAAGTGTGACTCTCTCTCTCTCTCGTTGAACATGTTCACACAATTGGATTGATCTCATTTCATTGAACGTGTTCCATGCGCTCCATGGTCCACAGGTGGGACCGAACCATATGTGACGGGGTCTTTGTTTCCACACCATTTGAAACAAAATACTTCTCCCCTCCTTGGTTTTGAGGTCCCCCTGCGCCCTTCCAAAACGGTTGGCTCTGCCGCCCAGCGATTGGACTTGCTTCGTCAGTTCACTGGCCTCATGACAAAACACTTCCAGCAAATGCAGACGGCTGCATCCGTTCGAGATCACTGGATCACACCTTGCTAGACTGGCTTCCTTCGAGATTTGCTGAGCCAGTGCATGGAATTTATGGGACAGACTGTGAGTCTTACCTGGACTGACATCCTTTTGGCACATGGACGATACATGTATATCAGCTTCCTCGAAGGAGTCTAGCCATGACGAGCTCATGAAGCCCGGAGGTGGGCAATGACCTCCTGCATCGCACCTTCGATGGTCTGAAGGCGGGTGTCCATGGCTGCCAGTTCCCAGGATTCGTCCTCAGCAAGATCTGCCAAGTCCTGTTTGGCCTTGCTCTTGATTGCTGGATGAAGTGGCCTCTGACTTGGTGATGGCTGTGGGTCTTGACTGTTCAGACCCAGTTGATGCTCGGCATAGGTCACCCTCAGTGGGATGTAGTGGATGAACTTCTGATGGTTGACCTTGTTCGACGAGTGGTAACTTGCTTGGAACCACTTCACACACTTGGCCTCCTTTTCCCACATCTCTGAGTAGGTCCGACCGAGATGGGCTGATCCAAAATCGATCTTGGTTTGCCCCATCTCGTCCAGTGATAGGAGCTTGAAGGCTTCGAACTGATCGCGGGCTTCTTCCTTCTTTTCTTCCCCCAGGACCCGTGCCAGGCGAGCACTCAGAGCGGATGCGTCGGAGGTCGGCGTGATCGTGATGCGGCTCAGGCGAACGAACGGGTTGGTCACACGGGTGTGATTGCACAGATCCGGTCTTGAACCCAAAACGGATGACACCGGGTTGAGCCCCCCTTGGAACCGATTCGAAAGAGACTTTCTCATCCCTACGAACACTCGAACGTTCGTTTGGTTTCTTTGGATTCGTTTGAGTCTTGGTGGATTCGGGTGTTGCGGCTTCGAACTGTTGGATTCTACTTGTCACAAGACCTGTCCTCACCTGAAAGTTCTGTGTTGTCATGGTCTTGGCTTTTGACTGCGCTTGTCTCGGCAGGTTCAGCTTCGGCATCTTGACTGGTGGGTGTGATCAGGCCATTCAAATCAACTAAAAACAAACCCTTGGCATTCAGCTGAATAGGAATGTTGCGCTTCAGGAGAGTGCTTTTGATCACTTCACCAGACACATCTACGGTGGCTCCGATGGCTCGGAGCAGAGTATTCGACAGCAGGAATGGTGTCCGGCCGGGCACTATCGCAATCTTGAGCTTCAGCGGTCCAATTGGGACAACGAGTGCACGCTGGCTTTCAAGTGTCCCTTGATTCCCAAACCGAAAAACTACTGAACATCGACACCTGTGGACCTGCTTCCGAACCTCAGGCCTCAGTGCTACGAAACCGCTTCCTATGACGGTCTTAGTAGCACCTGTATCTACGATTCCCAGAGCATCTCGAGTTGAAAAGCTCGAGAATGCACTGGCTTCCGTGTCATGCATCGACTTGGCTTCAGGTGATTGGGCGGTGCTAGCAAACGCACTCTCTGGCAAGCTAGTCCTGACATCAAAATTATCGCACTCGGTGATCATCCCCCCTTTGTGGGTTAAGACAACGGCATCCCCTTCATTGGTCTTCCACAAACCCCCCAAAACACCGGTGTCCCTCGATTCACAAACACAGAAAACTTGTTTCGAATTCTCTTGAGTGGCATTGAGCGTCTCTTCGGTCAGCTCTGGCAAATCCATGAACTCCAGTGGCAGGGCGTCCAGCTCATCGTTCACTGTCACCAGTGTCGGAGCAACAGCTGTTGATGGGGCCGGCTGAGATCCACGTTGTGGGCATTCAGCCTTCCAATGGCCTTGTCGGCCACAAATCCTGCAGCTGCTCTCCATGATCCTCTGCTGGAGGCTGTTTCTAGTGCCAGAAAACTTTGAGGAGTAGGGGGTCGCTTTCCTTTTTCACCCCCTTTCCCTTTTCCTTTGCCTTTGTTCTGACTTGTTGGCCAGAACCCACGGCTTTTGAAGCGCTCTGACAGGCGGCGACGGGCATCCATGTATGATGATTGTGTCAACGCTAGATCTTCGTTGTCTTGCGCTGCGTCCAACATTGTGGATTCATACTCCATGATCATGGCGGCGTCCTCGTCACCATCATTTGCAAGACTCTCAATCCATTCTGCCTCGGTCCAATCATCGAGATTGTAGGTGGGCTCGTCGGGTGCTTGGTCGTGACCATCAGCTTCTTGAGCAATGAACGCATTGGCCTCATAGGTTTTGGCCCTTGGATTGTTCTGCTTTCCGCTGGAGTGGACCTCATGGAAGAATCGACTGCCCAGGAGCTTCAGATTGGATACCACCTCTCTGTACTCCAGTGAACCCTGCGATTCAACAATCAGTCTCTTCTTGTCTTCTGAGCTCAGGGCTGAGTTGCGAAGCAAGATGTATGCACGAAACTCATCCATGCCGACCTTGATGCTCAGCAACTCTTCGAATTGATGATCGTGCCGAGCTAGATAGCTCTCATGGGTCTCGTCGGCTCTTTGGACCGTGCTGTATATTGCACGCTCAAACCTTTCAAACTTGTCCTCCAATCGAGATTTTCACCAAATCCCTCCAAGGGCCTCCACAATGGCCTTCACTCCCTCCAAACTTCCAACACGCAGCTTTGTTGGGTCCAGCCTTGCAACTCTCTGAAAGGCTGATCCCTTACATTGCAATGCAACTCGTGGGGCAAGCAGGTGTAGTTGTTCTGGAGGCCATAGTGACGCCAGGAACTCTACTTTCCGCGACCATTCAGTGAGGTCCGTCTCACCAGGCTTGAAAGATGGGGCTTGATGGGAGATTGCTCAATCCTCCTGAGGAGGAACTGGAGCCAGCTGAATCACCTTCCGGTGGCATTGGGCTGTTTCCTCCCTGGAAACCGCAGCTCAACAACTCTGTGACAACACCACCAAATCAATGTGCAACCTGTCGACTGCCTTGCGGCCAACCAATGAATCAACCGGGGTGGAGTGGTTCCCAACAGTTCAATGCTCACGCTTTGCAGTCAACCAATGTCAACTCAACCGACGCAACCACACAGTCAACAACAACCAAGCACAAGGGTCAGGTGTTGTCTGGAGCTTTAGCGGTAGCTCCGCTACCAATGTGATTGACACAAAGGTAGCAACAAAGGATCCTCCTTCCCTCGCACAGCCGCGTGCGTTTTCCACTCACAGCTCATGTGAAGGTTGGTACGAACGGTCGGGCGCCTCGCCCTGCAGTGTCCTCACTGCTTCTATGGCTCAGGTCACGGGTGACCCACCCTACACCACCCTTGCGGCCTCGCACACTCGTGGCTTCGGACGTGAACACACCTGAGTGGGTCAAGACTGGTTCCTCAGTGACCGAAAGGTTCGAAATTCACAACATACATACACACATACATACACACACACACACATACATACATACATACATACATACATACACATTGTATACACATTATATGCACAAATTATAAACAACAGGTAACAGGACTTTGTAATTGTTTTATCCTGACATGCGACTTGGTCCACCCGAATGTGGAATGCACAGGTCGCCACGGACGTGCATTTTCACGAGCCTGGGGCCTCTGCATCGACTGCGTGGCGTTGTGTCGCGGCCGTTGATCGGCCGTTGATCGCTGTTTGCAAAACAATGGATGGCAGCAAAACGAGGCTCCAAACGATATGGATTGCAGCTGGCGGACCGCATCTACCTTATTGGACCAACAGGACTGATTCAAGAGGCGCAGCGGTGCGGCATGTCTTGTTCATACAACCTCACGTGGAATTGATGCCCATTTTGCTCATGATACCCATTTTGCCATTTGACTCATGTGCCACAGGTCCAAGCAGAAGACGTTACTGAGGGCATGTTAGCCTAGGCCCCAACCAACCAGCCCAAGTTGGAACAAAGTCTGGAAAAGTGTGCCAAATCAGTTGGCATTGCTTGATTGGAAGGGCGGCGGGAGGGGCTCAGTGTCACAATTGCCACGAAAGAACTTGCCACGCAAGATCTCGTGGTTTCTGTGGTCAGCGAACCACAGCTTCTGGCAGAGGTGGCGATAGGGTCATAATAGGGGCAAGATCCGCTTGCAAGACTTGCTCATCCAACTTAGTCCAACGTACCCACCTTCTGATTTGGAAGCTGTGTTTCGTTCTGTCCAGAGTCTAGATAATGTAGCAATGCCGCTGCAGGCTGCCCAACGGTAGCCGTGCCTAGCGAAAGGCTCAAAGTAGCCACCATCTCGATTCGGGATGGGTGTGGCCAGACATGTTCAGGACTAGTCTATGTGAGTCCATGTGCCATTCCAGCATCTTCCATTCTGTCAGCGCAAGTGGCAGCTCCCGTGCAAAAAATAACTAGGGTATACTAGGGTGATGCTCCATGTGAGTCCCAGATGTCCTGGTGAGTGTGAAGCTTTGGCCACACCTGGATAGATTCGGATCTTTGATCTGCGTTTACTGTAGAGCCGCAGTCTCCCAGCTTCCCCGCTCGGCTGCGGTTCAGAAAAGCAATCGGACCTTCGCCGACTTCACCAGGGGACCACCGGCAACATTTGGATAGATTTCCCGCAATTACCAACCAGTGCCTTTTCACAATCTCTCACCCACCACTGGTTCAACGGACACACCAAGCCTGACCCTACCAAGCCAACGACGAGACACGACGACACGACTTGAGACATTGCATTGGAGGCGGCCCTTTTTCAATCTTTCTGGGGACATGCCCTGTCCAGGAGATGACAAGTGAGATGGGGAGAGAGCCGGCAAGGGTCCGGCGGCCTGCTAGGCCTACGAGGAAGGAAGAAGCTTAGACACTGGTAGCAGGTATGGCGCATTAGCACAGACACCGCAAGGATCTGTGAGGCACATGTTGGATACTTGAGAATTGAATAATGTTCAAGCTTGTTTATCTTGTTTGCTTTAGCCAGGTTTCACTTCGGATTGACCGCTTAACCTGCTAGAGTGACGGAAAAACGTTGCTTGTAATTGTGCAAGCAATTTCGAGGGCAACATGTTCACGAGATGCACAACATACCGTTCTGTAGGCACAAAGGTCAATGGAGGAGGGCTCTGCAGATTGAGCAACAAATTAGATGAATGGCTCAGAGTGATCTGGCTGCAGAGCAGTTTCCATCGCTAGTAGCTTGGAGGCCTCGGAGGCCATCGCGAATAGGTTGGAGGCTGCAGAGCAGTTTTGCTTTTCTTGACCGGCGCGAACATGGGACAAACACAATCCTGGAGCGGGTGCAGCGCTCAGAGAGCTTGGTTGTCGGCGTCGCTTCAGTTTGGCTTGCTTGGTGTAGATGATGTCACATCTAAAGATGGTCTCTCCCCACCAAGCTAGCTTTGAAACCTTGGTGTTAGCTCTGTGTGGATGATTTCATTTCCCCAAGTTAGCTCACAACCGGTGCAGATCTTTGATGATCTTTGTGCATGATATGCCTTTGCAGGGAAATCGCCAGTGAATGTTTGCCCAAGATCCGCGCAAGTTTCGCGAATGTGCCGTTAAAGTCTAGGTCCCAAACTTTAACCCCGCCCAACATTCCCCGAGCTGCATCACCCTGTGTTGGTTCCTTGGCTTTCATGCTACAGAGATTCTACACACCTCTCTATCATATACATCCCGCGGAGACGAGGGTTTGATTGAGTTGTGCCTGACAGGACCTTGGATATTGCTTGTCGCACCGATGCTGCAAGTGACCCTCAGTAGCTGTAGCAACTCTCAACCTAGTGTGCAGGTCATGCTGCAAAAAGGTCGGTCACGATTTTTGATACAAATGTACACTTCCAACTTCCAACACATGTCTACCAGACGTGTTTTTTCCGCCAGGACACGCCATTCCATCATGAAAGAATATATATATATACATATAATAGAAATATGTATGAAATATGTATATATATATGTATATATATGTTTGATCGGCCACCATCTATCGAGTGGTTGCACATCAGGTGCTGGCAGCGAGTGGTGGAAAGTGAGGCCGGGCAAGTGCATAGGTCTTATTGCATGGAGCTGGGAGACCCTGCTTTTCTCTTTCATGCAGTGTGGCGTGCTGGAGGCCAGTGGGCCTGTTGAATTCCACAAGCTGCGTCACGGCCTTGGGTACACTGTAGTACTTATATACTTGCTTTCTACTGTCTTGTCCCGACTGTAAGAGGAGAATGTGTGTGTCTCTTCAAGTCAGCATCACTATATAAGGAGTTGGTTCTGATCCCGAACGCGTGACCTTCGAGTTGCATCGTGGTCAGTCCCTGGCCTACTGAAAGCCCAATGCTACCGTTCACCCGCATACATGTAGTAGAAAGAGGAACGCGGGTCCTTGGAAAGCAACGCTGCATGTTTGCAAACAGCTGGACTTCGTTCGATATGTTCCTTTCTCGATTTTTGGCAATCAACCATGCTATGGTACAGAGCGGCTTCATCGGAGGCGACGACTTTGTTGTCGAGCTGACCATGTGGCCTATTTGTTTTTTTTGCCAAACCTGAGGTGGCATTGCCTACTCTGTGGTGACCTCTGTGAGGAGTGGCAGCCTGCCCCGCCAGATGCACCTTGGCGAGTATGAAGAGTGAAGAACACATCCAAGCACAACTGTCCGAATCCAAGGCTTCAGTGTTTGTAGCCAGGAGCTGAGAAGTCCAGACATGAGAACATGAGTTGATGGACACGGCCCAATATTGCAAGTTTCCAGCGAAGAGTCCCAGTACATGCTTCGCACGATTTCTTGACCGAATCTGTGATGCTTGCATTGCTTTCCACTGGTCTTGAGTACAGAAGCTGATCTTCGCTGACAGGAATGGCAAGGTACCGTGGGCCCTTTGTGTTAGCTTTTCTGGACTGGCTAGCTTAAACACACCATTCTAGACTAGACCTTTTTGTAGAACACATCTAGGGGTCAGCGGCCTCTTTTGGAATATGAGCTCCCGCAGCTACATGGTGAGCCCAAGCGTTCCAACCTCAGCCTGTAGCCTGTAGTGGCAAGCAGCACCGGTGACAGCATTGGCACGTTATGGCAAAGCTGCGTGTCCATTTGGGCTTCATCGATGAAGAGTCCCCAAAAACAGTGTCACGGATCCAAAGCTGCCCAAGTTTGGTGGAGCAAACGGATTATTTCCAGTGGCAAGGCAAAATCCAGGTGGGATGGGCTGAGACCTGGCCATTCGGTGCTTCAAGCCCGAAGGTTTTGCATCAAACAGATTCAAATGATCCAAGTGGCATGTGAAAACATGTGAACATGGTGTTCACATCAGTGGACCGGGGCGCCCAAGTCTGGGAAAGGTATCGATTCGTCACCCAACGTTGGCCACCGCCGAAGGCAAAATCGCATGTGAACTTGGACTGTGCTTATGTTCCCAATACTCAGGGTTCTTCAGTGCATGGCACTGATTGTGCCATCTACCTAGGTGTGTCATTTGGAGGGGGGTTCCAAATCAGTGGATTGGCACCGCTGTAACATTGCGCCATCAAGCTAGATGATGACCCATCAAAGGAGATTAGTCTACGATATGTTTTTGCATGTTTGTTTTATATTTTTTTTTGCGGGCTTAGTGCCTAATTCTGCAAAACATGATGAGAACATATATAGATGGTTCATCAGCCTGGTTTTATATAACATTGATTGGAGCCACAAATGCTATACTATAACCCTTGATCGTGCCCCGCCATCCTCGCCCATTACCAGGTTCAAGTTCAAGCTTGTGGAATCTTGTGGATGAGGGGGTTGCTCTAATACAATATGAATTCAAAAAGCACATTACAGTACTGTATTCAATCTTGCTTGGCTGATGGCTTGGCTGAGGGAAAGAGCATGAAAGGAGAGGGAACGGTTGCACCATCTAGTGGCTCAACCATCGGTATCACGGTATCACCTTTCACACAAGGTTTGTGCCATCTACATGGCTGGTATCAGGCACTGTTCTGAAAATTGGTCAATGGAGCTTGATGTGGAAGTACAGGGAAGGGGAAAGGGAAGAGAAGGCAAGGGAAGGAGAGGGAAAGGACAGGGAACAGGAAAGAAAAGGGAAGGAAAGGTAAAGGACCGGGAAGGAAAGGAAAGGGAAGGGGAAAGGACATGAAAGGAGAGAGAAACGAGACATTTAGGAAAGGAAAGAGAGGGAGAGGAGAGGATAAGGAGAGTTGCGCTATCTATTCTCACAGGGACCCCTGAAAGAAGGAGTGAACGAGCCAAATATGGTGCATGATCCTCTACAAGAATTGGTCTGCTCCCCTCAATCTGGGCTTGTCTCCGAAGGTGCCATCTATTGGCAATTTTCTGTTTCGGGCGGAGCCATCTACTCTGACCCCGGTGTATCCATAACTATATATGTTTGACACATAGTTAGAACAAAGGGTCGCATAAATAGATAGACACACGGCGTGTTTGTTTTCTAAGTTGTTCTGTGCTTGAGTTGGATGATAGGGCTAGATTGGATGGAGGTTGACATGGTGCCATGTCCGAGTCCGGGGGTTTGAACCCTGAGAGGATCCTACGGTTAGCCTCCATGGTCCTGATGGTGGCTTTGCTTCTAGTGCAGCAGTGTACAACTTAAAACGTCTATACCTAGCCTAACCAGACACATATGTTCTTAGCTTCTGGCAGCAATATACCAGAAGCTGACCTGAGCTCAAAGAATGTCCGTTCAAGAGACCCCAAGCAGGGTGGGGTTTGGCGATGGTGGGTTTGTTTGGTGGAGTGGCGACTGAATGAACCCCACAAAAGTAGGTTTCTTATGCTTGGCTGGGCAACTGGGGAGGGCAAACCATCCACCGTGTGGATGGAGGTGATGACTTTGCGAGAGCGATCAGCGAATGTGGGTGACCAGAACCAGGCTGCCCTGGCGTTTCCAGAGCCAGGTGCCATGCAGGGTAGAGGGTGGGGGGCCAGAATGGCGTGGGGGGCCGCAAAAGAATTGAATTGTTTTTTCCCCAGATAGCGAAGCTATGGGGTTCTTACTTCAAATAACAATGAGTTGCCCGTGCGCGCTTTCGAGACAGGTTGCCGGTGCTGGGTGCCGGTGCTGGTGCTGGTGCTGTGAGCTGGCTGTGCACACGGTGGAGACAGGTTGCTGGTGCTGGGTGCTGGGTGCCGGTGCTGGTGCTGGTGTTGTGAGCTGGCTGTGCACGTGGTGGAGACAGGTTGCTGGCGCTGGGTGCTGGGTGCCGGGTGCCGGTGCTGGTGCTGTGAGCTGGCTGTGCACGTGGTGGAGACAGGTTGCCGGTGCTGGTGCCCGGTGCCGGGTGCCGGTGCTGGTGGTGGTGCTGTGAGCTGGCTGTGCCCATGGTGGAGACAGGTTGCTGGTGCTGGTGCTCGTGCCGGTTGCCGTTGCTGGTGCTGTGCCCGCTTCTGACAGTGAAGTGATAACAACCGCCGCTTCTGACAGTGAAGGGTAACAAACCACCGCTTGCAGCAGTGAAGGGTGACCAAGCGCCGCTTCTGACAATGCCAGCAGTCGTGGGCCGCGTGAACTCATGCACGCAACATCATACGGTGTTGTCGCTTGAGCGTTCTTTGTCTATTAGCGCTGTGGGGTATTTACGCTCTTCAGGTGCTGTTTTGGTACGTATAATGTTCTATGCGCAGCGTCAAGCTCTCAACCGACCATTGTTCCAGCATGTTTCAGCACGCTACACACACAATAGTCGTGCTGTATGCTGCTTGGCCTTGGGCGAGTGAAGCCTACGGGCTTTGCCGTTTGTGCGCATACGTTTGTGCGCATAAACCGATTCGCGCAAGGTCATACGGCCTTATCATCCTGCAGATCGTTGCTTCAAGCATGCTACGAAGCCAATAGCGGCGCTGGATACTGCTTGGCCTTGGGCCAATGACACTTACGGGCTTTGCTGTTTGCGCGCATAATTACTTTTGTGCGCACAAACTTATGCGCACAAGATCATACGTTGTTATTCCCCAAATAGGGATAGCTATGGGGTTCTTGCTGCAAATAAGAATGAACTGGCTGCGCTTTCGAAAGCGTGTCGGTGCTGGTGCTGGTGTTGTGACCCTGGGTGCTGGTGCTGTGAGCTGGCTGAGCGCGCGTTGAAGACGGGGAGGTGCCGTAAGCTGGCTGTGCAGGCTGCGTACATTCTTGTTCCAGCCAGTCGCATGTCAACAGGTCGTGGGATTCTGCCTAGCTATCTGGGTCTATGCTGGTTTTTGCACATGTATATACATATATATATATAAATACGTGTGCGAACATAGTTTTGCACCCCCAAGTCTTCAACCCTTGCGGCCACAATTCGTTCTATTTCTATGTGGTTCGCTCAGTGGATGCTTGAAGCGTAGGCTGGCCTTTCGCAGGTGTGACTGAATACAGTCACACATCACACACCAAAACGTCCAATTCATCGCTATTACTGTACTGTAGGAAATTTGGAGCCATGCTGGGTGCAAGCACAATGCGTATTGCAAAGTGAGAACGTAACCCTTTGCAAAACAGAAAAGAGCTACAGCCAAGGCTCATCGGAAGGCAGTTATGGACATCCAAACCTTTGCAGTCGCCCATGCGTCCTTTTCCTTCGAGGAACTTGTGAGGAGGTGGCTTGCGGGGGATCTTTCTCTATTTTAGGGAAGACCATGCGTTGTGACCAAAGTTCTTTCTTGTTGAAACAGGTGGGAAATGCTGCTCGCGAAAAACTCTGGCAAGAGTTTTTCACGAACAGCAAGGGGATTGTCTAGGGATCCTGGCGGATTTGTTTCAAGATGTTTTATGTATCAGCCCCACCCCTTGATTTTGATTGGCTGGGCTTGTTTAAGGTCCTAACAAGAGTTCCACTCACCGTGCACTCTGACAGAACGATAGGCCCTCTAAGCAAGTCGCGGCTAACGCATTCTTGTGCAAAGAGCATAAAGTGCTCTGGATTCTTGGGGGTCCGCAGTCACGCAGCCAAATGCAGCCAATCAAATGCCTTGCAGGGTGCTGGCTGTGGGTTTTGCCACTCTGCACATCTTCAGAAACCTGCAAGCTTCGACAAGACACAAAGGAAGATTGTGAAGTCGTGGTCTGCGGTGAAGTTGCTTGAAGCTCCGAGCAAACTATTCCTTTGCATGTTCTTCGTTGTGTGTCATGAAAGAACACACATAGTATGCATCACCACTTTCATCATCAGCCAAGACGAGGGTCTCGCTAAAGCCTAGATGTTTCGATGTGTTTGACTCAGGAAGCCATTCTTCCACACTTGCGGGCCAAAGTGAAAGCAATCCATCATCCAGGAGCAGGAGTGCTTTTGGAGCTGCTTCAACGCGAGCTGGCCCTTCGTGGCCCCACTAATCACAGCCACTTGGACTGGGGAAAAGCGGCACTGTAAAGCGGGCGGCTGAACCCAACCAGGACCAAGATGCGTTTATTTGACACCATGTTCTTGGATGGTGAATTTGGGGATCACTGTGGGGTGAAAAATGCTTGTAGGTGTCTGGGACCAACTGTTGCGACTGACGCGCAAGTGCAGCAAGGCACTGGGACCGCCGGCGTCCCTAGCCAGATCCACCGTGTTCTAGCTCGCATGAGCGTAGTGGCTTTGGTGGGCATCCTTGCCTCCAAGCTGAAGGGCCCTGTTGCTGTGCTTCTGAAGGAGGCATTGATTGACTTGCGTAAGCAGGTCGCAGACCCTTGATGCAGTGATGTTGCCAACATTGTTTCCTTGGTTGAAGTAGTGTGAGAAGTTCTTGAGGATGGTTGTGACAGGTCGCCTCAGGTCGCACCTGCAGTGAAACTTTTACGATGAAGCTGTCCTGTGATCAGTTGTCGCGCTTTTGCACCAGCCTCGAACACACGTGGCCGATGACCATGATTGACCGGATGTAGACGAGAGAGATGGAGAGGACAGCGGTTTCACTGATTTTGCGATCTCGGTCATGAGTGCCGCATCGTCCACCTTCCACTTGGAATGCTGCTTGTCAGTCCTGTATTTTGCTTGCGTCATTCCAGCAACATAGATGGTGCATTGCGTTGGGCTCGGCGTTCTCCGGAGAAAATTGCTGAAGTATATAATTACAAGGCTCGTCAAAACAGGAGATCATACCTGGGAACGTGGGTGCTGTTTTGAGAACAAAGTGCGGAGGAGGACGCCGAACAATTGTGTTCCCTACTGAAAGCACACAATTCAGAATCTTCCGTGGTGGAAACTGATGTAGTCAATGCATTTGCCTGATTTGAAGAAGAAAGGAGGGGCCCAGGCCGCATCATGTTCGTTTGCATTTGGCAGATTGGGGGGTTTATGGAGTTCTGTTGCCCGATTTTGCCGTACTTTAATCAACAGCTTTGTCTCCAACAGTCTGTGGGAGTCCAATACTGCCACAGCTTGCCCAAGTCATCCAATGCAGGGTGAACGCAGAGATCCCAGTCGAAGGTTGTATATGAGCTTGGGCCAGTGGGCAGGATTGTGGTGTTTGGACTTCTTGTGACTTCCAGTATTTTCCAGTGCTCTCCCACAAGTGTGAGTTTCAAGTTTCAAGCTGATGGAGAGCACATTATTGAAGGATGACATATAACCATATAGCTATGTGACAGCTGTGTGTAGATGCGGGTCCATCATGCACAAGGGGTGGTGTTGGCCATGGCAGCTGTGGTTGATCAATTTCGCATGCGTCACTGGTGGTTAGCTGGGGAACTGCACTCACCGTCATTCGCTTCATTCGTGGCAGCTACCTGCCCCTGTGCGTACGTCATGCCCGCGTTTCAGCGAAAACCGTGCATGGAGGTCAGACCTCTAAAGGCAGAAGTGCTTTGTGATGCTAATCATGCCTATCCTTCATCAGCACATTTGGCCCAACCCGCGAAGTGTTTGATTATATACGACTTCTGCCCCAGCAAGTGAAGAATGCGAATTTGCATATCATGCTGAGAGGTCTGCCCAATGAACTTGCGAGCCACTAGAGCGTTCATTGGTCTTCCATCACGTGATGGTGAGTACCTCCACAGTCTCCCAGAACGTTCCGAGAGGGCGGCAAAGACCTTAATTAGACCATTAGTTTGGCTACTTAACTTTGAAGTAACCCAAACCATTATTAAGCGGAAGTGGTGCGGGCCAGCGGAATGCCGCAAAATCACAGAGAAAAGAATTTGTCCCGTCAAATTGGGATGTTTGTCACTGCGCTGAGCGGGGCACGCACTGGTCAGAGAGCGTTTGCTACACCACGGTGCGCCAAAGTAATCTAAAGCTATTACTGTAATTAACTACTAGGAGCAAGAAGCTACTAGTAACAAGGGCATCGCTACCTGTAACAAGGGCATTACTACTATATATCAAGAAGCTACTAGCAACACATGCTGCCTTTTGCGAAGGAAGTGCTCGACTAATTTTTGCTAAGGCCCTCTATGCGGAAGGCGCTGCAGGCCTCGCGGTCGCAGGAATGAACCACAGGTTTCGTTGAAACAATGTACTTGCAGCTTTGGTGTCGTGAGGGGCCTAGGCACTGGCTGGAGCCTTTGGAATTCTTACGAGTTTCATAGCACCAGGTGGTGGTGTATCTGAGGAAGAAGGAAAAGGAGTGACACGAAGTGACCAGATCGGCATGTTTTTATGGCAACTTCAGAGGCTTGGAAGCTCCGCTTTCGTGGCGACACTTCTGGGCGGATGGGTGTGGTGCCCAGACTAAAGCAAAGCCGACACAAACGAGTCTACGCAGTGTGGGTACGAGTGGAAGGCTCGCTTGAGCGGTTTTGTTTTGGCTTGAGATTCTTGAGGTCGAAAGTCTTGAGGACAGAAATTTCGTCAGAGGCAGGCTACCAGCGGCAACCTGGCGCGCATCACTGGTTTGGACAGAAGTTGCAGCTGTTCGGTGAGGCCGCAGGAGTCAAGACAGTCCTCCGAATCGATAGGCCGTGGCTGAAAGTTGAGTCGACGGTAGTTGAGTAGGCGGTTTGCATCAAAAACTCATCAAGACCGACCCCATAAACCCTTTGTTGGTGATCATCAGGTCTTTGGTTACTAATTACAGTGATAGTGAGCCCCATCCAGTTGGTGATGCGAGCATGCTTCATGTGTCGCGAGCAACAAGTCTTGCAACAATGACCAACTTGCTTCGCATTCGGATGATCGGATGGCAGGCAACTCGCCTTTGGCGGCAGAATGACGTAGAAATCTAAGCCCTCCAGCGATTCCAGCGCGAACAACGCGACTGCAGTGACCAGAAACGGTGACAAAAACGGGTCCTCAAAACCCAAGGATCAAATCCCAGCTGCAGAAGGGCGAAAGCGGGGACGCCATCACTCAGCTCTCCGCGCCCTTTCAAAGGTGCCGAGCTCTAAACGGAAAACGACAAAAGGGGAAGCGTGTAACGCGTTGCAGTAAGACCAACAACGCGTTTCTCGTGCCTTCCTTGTGTCCAAGCCATAGTTGCTTTTGGTTGTGCCCATATTTTGAGCTACCTGTGTTCGCATGTGTTGCTTTCAATCGACCTTTGAGGGTTGCAGCACTTCTTCTGGAGAAAACGTTTGGACTGGCTATTGTTTGCGTGTCACCCAGCATCCCTACATACTCGGGGGCACCATTTGTTTGGGGGGGCTTCTTTCGGTGTGCATAGGATGTCCTAGTGGGCGCATACAATTGCACAGTTTTTGCTGGCACATTGCTGCTGGAATCGCCCATTTCTGCGGATGACTGTAGGTCGGCAGAAGGAGCCGGAGAAGGCTTGCACTGGGTTTAAGCGGCCACTGCAAATGGGTTCATTGCCAGTTCATTGGGGTTCGTCCGCTCATAATGGTTGGTCGACTCATAGCCACATGTCAGTGTGGAAGTTCTCCAAGAAGCATCCAGGGTTTTGCCTTGAGCTGTGTCTTGCTGGGCCTGGAATGAGAGGCCCATCTCCTGTGGCATTTCTCCGTGCTCATGGACAGCCCTTGAAGTCACTGGAGGAGTTGGAGAGGGGTCGCTGGATGACCATTGTGGCACTCAAAGACCTCCCTTGGTAGGACAACAAAGTTTGCTCCTTGATCACGCTCGTTTTCAGCGGCTATGTGCGCATTAACTCTCCAAGAGAGGGATTTCAGCAGAATGCTTGCAGGTTAGAGACAGAATATAGTGTAGGTCAAGATTCTCCACCAAACAAGCCTCCGCACATCCCACAAATTCCTGCTGAGAGGACCGACTGAAGGCTTTAGACAAGGCGCAGTCTGCACGTGTCAAAGAGCATAATGAGAGGAGTATGAGGAGTTATGCCCAGCAGTTCATTTGTGCTTTGCGGCTTGGGTGCTTTTTGAGCCATTACCCCACAAAGCAAATTGAACATGTTCAGGTCCCAGACTCTTCGGGGGAGATCATTCTCAGCCGGTTCGCGTGTGTTCTGCTAGGGGGTATCCACTCCCAACCCGCACAGAGAAAACTTAAAAACTGATAAGTTTTTTCTCCGGTTCCGGGCCTTTTGGTAAAAATCAATAGCTGAGGGACCCAGGTGATACAGCAAAAAGGAGGATCGTTGCCGTTCTCTATGTGGAGATTTGTATATATAGTTAATTGGGTCAAAGAAATGGTCACAGCATCGCTTTTGACATTATTCCAGGGTGGGACCAACGTGGTCCCTAGCATTTTTTTTGCCGCATTGTTCAGAAAGACTTCATGGCTGAGGGACCCGTGCAATGTGGGAAAAGAGATGTTTTTCCGATGCTACCGCTTTCTCCGCCGAGATTGTCATCTCTTATTGGTCGAACAAAAAGGTATAGCGTTTCTCATTCTCACATTTAAAAGGTAAAAGTAAAATGTTTGCCACAGAGCCTGGTCAAATGCGAAGCGCATGAAAACGATTATATAAACATGCATTGCTTTTGCTGTAGCTTTTTTGCCGTGGAGATGGGCAAACTTTGGTAGACACGGCGCGAACGCGATCGTTGTTTAACGCTTTTATCAGAGATCCTGGAAATGAGGTCCAACAAGAACATGTTGTTTTTTGTCGTTTTTACCGTGGAAGTGTCTCAGGGAAGCTCCGCAACCTGACGAACAGCGAAAAACTAGCACTGGCATCATTCAAGAACCTAAAATGGATGCGGGTGGAACATGGTCAAAGTGCCCGGACATCAGCGTTGGTAGCTGAGTAGTTGACGTACGTTGATATCCCTCAAGGCTCTTTCTGGTTCTTTGAGGAATTCTTGAGGTTTTGGCCGGGAGCAAGGACGCTACTAGGGGCTCCTGGCATTGCTTTCTTGGTGTCATCAGGTCGAAGAGCTACTCGCTGAGTGTGACATCATTAGCAAGGCCCAGGCCGCTGATAGAGTTTGGAGGCCCCAGCACTTGAGTGAACTGAGCCTAGGCCGTGAGATGCCTTTTTGAGACGCCTGAGTGATGCTCATTGCGAGCACCAGAAGAATCTAGATCTCTCAGCATGAAGCTGTAGTCATGTTCAACCATTTATGACCAAGCACAAGCTGCCCACAAGGCATCAACATTTCCCGTGAAGCATTTGGCATGCCGGCCAGACCAGGTCGTACCTCCTGAATGGGGTGGCTTAGCACTGATGATTCGTGGAGGCCACGGGCCTCGCTGACCAGAGAAGTTGATGTCAAACCACTTAGCTGAGGCATTGCCTACTACAAAGGCCTCCTGCCAGAGTGGACCACGCCGGACCGCGGACCTTGTTGGTCCATTGGGCACTCCCAGAGAGATGCCATCTCAAAACTACGCCACCTTGTGATGCTTTGCTACTCACCTGACTGGCTCACTCACCACCGTACATTGAGTTTGACCTCCTAAAGTTTTCCTTGCGCTGCTGCTGCTGATGATGATGATTATTTTTATTGTTATCACTGTTACTAGAATAATGATGATGATGCTGATGATAAAATGATGAAGACTGAGGGTGAGGATGACAGTTCCAATGATCATGACATCTGTGGCGTGAGGGATGTGTTTTGATGCGACTGTGATTGTGATGCAGTGGAGTGAGATGTAATGAAGAACTCTTCGAGATCCTTCAGGTCAGGTAGAGTTGGCAGATGATTGTGTGATTTTGTATGATTTGTGAGTGTCAACAGGGCCAACCACTCCTTGCAATGCAAGCTTTTGAACGGGCTGCGAGGGTACCTTGAATTGCTTTGTATGTACACGTACATGTTTGTTGAACTGATAGTGAATCAAGAGAGTCCAAGAGTATTCCATCCTTCTTTGGCTTTTTGCTGTTGAGAAACTGTTGCTCGTTAGGAGCCGGTGGCTGACCTGAATCCTCCACCGATCAAAGCAGGTGTTGAGGCGGGTCGAGTCGAGTCATACTGAGTGGGGTCGAACTTGTGGCGTCCAGCGATCGAGGCCGACTACGCCGTCCATAACGAGCCGAAAGGTGACAGAGCCTCAGATCGCAGCGTAGTCGGTACTTGGTACCACGCGAAACGACCAGGTGGCGAAGGAATGCAGAAACCTCCTGACACGACATGTTGCGACAAGAGTCAGCAAAGCCATATGTTTGTAATTCTGCATAGCAGTGTAGCGTATCCATGTGCTTCATGTTGTTGCGCCGGTGAAGAATGTGGTGGACGTGACTAGTTAACTAGTTCTGGAGCCGCAGGTTTGCATCAACATTGCTCCGTGGAATGCTCCTGCGACATTGAGTTTGGGGCCGGCCGTTTCAATGCTGGCAGCTGGCAACCATGTGGGGCCCAAGCTCAGCTTGTCCAGGTTGTCAAAGTCCACTCTGTAGATACTTTAGGAGAAGCTCTTACTTGTATCCAGGACTGGGTCCCCACCAATGTGTTTCGTCACATAGCACCGCACAATGCACCCAGAAACCTCCTTGAGGTGGTCATCAAGCCAGCTGAGCTGGTGCCCACAGTGTCGGCAGCCCTCCGACGGCTGTGTCGGGCCCTCAAGGAGATGTTCAAGTTTGGCGGAGCAATTCAACCTTTGTTTTTGCGCGCCCAGGTCAAAAGTGCCCTTGGCATGGTTTGAGAGGAGTTTGCCAGCAGAAACAACAGCAACAGCAACAGCAACAGCAACAGCAACAGCAACAACAACAACAACAACAAAAGGACCGGATAACCCCACATGATAAGTTTTACAAATTTCAGTTGTATATGAACATCACTTGGGAGACGGAGTAGTGAGATGAAAAGTCAACAAGGAAGTGTGAGGAGAGAAGGCATATGAGGCGGTTATGCTCAGACGTGCAGTATAAGTGATGATGTGATGGACGAGGATGAGAAGGAGGGGAGGGAGGAGGTGTGTGTGTGTGTGTCCACTCCTGTTTCCAAGGACACTACTCTAGTTTTTCTAATCTACCCTACCAGCTTTTCTGTACAGAAGCAGGGGGACATGGCGTGCGTTCAGGGACCATGTCCAATGAAGCTACCTGACGCACGGGATATGAGAGCTGATCACTCTCACGTACCTGCAATTTTCCAATTCTTTGAGATGTCTAAGTCAGAGCAACGCCGTCTCATACGTTGTTTCCTGCAGTATCTAGATTTAAAGGGCTAATGCACACCGCGAAGCTACCTGAAATCACGCTCCACGGAGCAACCTTCTCAAGTGTGTCTTCGCAGCTTCTTCCCACTGTGGTGAGCTGTGTGATCCCTACGGGGCGCCGTTACCGCAAGAACCTGTTCACTCCTCACCGAGGGAGTAAGTTTCCTGAATTTTCTCTGAAGTCCCCTAGACTGAATTTGACCTGCTCGAAACCAGCTTGGATCGTCTCACCCAGCACACGTGAAGATTACTGCAGAGTTCACTGAAATCCTTTCTGAAATCCCACTGCAGAGTTAACTGAAAGAGTTTCACCCGGAAATCCATTCATTCCTTTCAAATCTTTTTAACCTTCCAAGTTTTAATTCCTTTTTCCAGAATTTAATTGCGGTTACTCAATACACTTCACAACTTTTTCGACCTCACGGACCTTTATTTATTTTCTTACATACATACATATTTTCACTGTCTTTGACTTGCCGAGCAGCCATGACGTATCCCTGGCCCTATTCTTTGCCGCCACACTTCCACCCACAACCACAACCTACACAACCCCATTGGATTCAATTTCCACCGCAGGCTTCACCACAACCTTTTCCAACACTGCCACCGACTCCATCGCAACACCCAACCTCACATCACTACCCATTGCCCATTACACCTCCACCTCATGCTCAATACATCCAACCACATCAACTTCAGGCACATTTTCCAGTGCAACCTACGGCTCCCTTCGACACTACCCAACTTGCGCAACAACATCCACATCTCACAACTCAATCACCACAATCCCAAGCTCACACACATCTTACATTGCCACTTCAGTCTCAATCTCAACCTCAACCACCACCTCTACCTCCCCAACCACATCTACCACATCTACCACATCAACTCCATCCATCACCACACACGACAAATCAAACCCCTGCCACAACATCTTTTCAACCACCACCACTACAAGCACCTGATGCACTACAAGCACCGCCACCTGATCCAACAACAATCACTTCACAGCAGTTGACCACACCAACTCCACCACCACCACCTTACACTTCAACAACCTCACCAGCGACTACTCAACCTGCCTCAGCATCCATCAACACACCCGCACAGCCTTCGCCACCACACCACAGTCCACGCACTACCAAGCCAACACCATCCATTGCACCCACACTCAGCACTACAAGAGGCATTTGGCGCGACCCAGATCGCTCACCACCACGCACACCTGAACACCACCGCTACTCAGCCTTTCCAGCCATACCTTCCATTGCACCATCACAAGCTACATCCAGATCCAGGAGCCGCACTCGATCACTACGTACCACACGCTCTCCACTACCAAGACGTCGAAGCTCCGCCACACAATCCGTGGCCAGTTCTCAAGCTCAATCCAAACCTGCAGACAGACAAGCATCACAATCACCAGCAATCACCCAAGACAAAGCTCACCCTTCCATCCCAAACATCACTACAGCTACTACTGCAAAACACACTCCAGAGCCACCTCGCCGTACTTCCAGCATTACACTCAAGCCCAACCCACATTTCACTCCCAAACATCCCACAAAACAGACACCTCCACCACCAGCACCAATACCTGCAATTCCAGTCCAACGTCGACCTCACAACTTGCCTCCTCCAACATTCCAACCACCCACTGATCCAGCACAATTGGATGTCTTCCAATGGCCCAACCGCTACGCACAAGCACTTGATGTCAAAAATGAACCCATGCTCTCCTACGTAGCCAAGGTGCTCAGTGCAGCTCATCTCAACAGCACCCACTTTACCGACCTACAACTTCTCACCCACAAAAAATGGAGCGATGACACCAACAAAGAAGAACATTATTCCTTCCTACTACTCACAATCCCCACATTAGCGAGCAGGGGCGACGCTCCGATTCTTCCTCCTACACGGAGAGAGGCGCTGAACATACCACCTATCAAACACATTTTTGCGGCACACGTTAGCGAGGAGGGCAACATTATTTCAATACTTGAAGCAGGAGAAATCGTGCGATCCATTCTGCATGATGATCACAATGTGGGATATTTTTGTCAGGCGTTCGAATTGTCGAACTACGAGCCCCATGATGCTGCTGAAGCTGCACGCGTCCTCTTCAATGCTTCCAACATGGCCAAGAACCGCAGCGGTCTCATTCTGACGATCAAAGCCTATGGACACGGCCAGAAAGTCACTCATGGTGGCGAATCCGCAGCGAATGACCTATTGCTCAGAGGAGAGGGGATTGTAAAATACACCCCAGGAAAATGCTGGGTGGCCCATCCCAAACATTCCAGAATAGAAGGGATAGCTTGGAAAAGCGATGCAAAGCCACCGCTCAGTTTCATTTAATTCAATCTATTCAGCTCACGAGGTTCATTTTTCACCCCGTATCTTGGATGACGACCTAGCCTCAAACAATCTCAGCCAGCCTGCCTGATATTGATATTGACTCTGATTTTCTCACACATCGTTGTCAACTTCCTTTTCTCCCGATATGTCATTCTTGTACAGATTGATGCCGACAACATGATCTTTTTTACAGTCACTTTTCCAATTTTCCAGACCTGCAGCATGTCAGCATTCCTGGTTGTTATCAAGCTTTTCGAAGAGAGTCACAAGCATTTCGAAGAGAGTCGCAAGATTTCCTGTGAGTTGCAACCTGCCCCGCAGCCATTTTGTATTATCTTGAATATTGAGCTCGATCCCTGACGACCAGCCGAGCTATATTTGCCTCCCGACGACTACCACGACGATGACTTCCCCTTTGGACACAGCATTTGCCCATCGACTTCTTTTAGCACACCTTCAAGCAGCCACCTCCATTGCTACTACTTTTCAAAACCTTCCACCATTTACACCGCAACTACCACAACAAGCACATCACCCACTCACTACCACTCCACCTTCTCCCCAAAGACCAGCCAGACGCACTCCTCCACCACTGCAACCACAGCCGTCTTTCTCACGCAGCCGCAGTCCGCCTCCCGCCAAAGGCAAACCATTCATGGAGTGCAAACCAGAACCTTCTCCTTCACATACGCCCACTTCACCACATCAGTTCTCACCACACCGCCACAAGTCCAAAGCGACTCACCAACACAAGAACAATACAGACCTCCAGGAACAGCGTACACCACCACCAATCACAACGATTTCTCTCACCAGTTCGCCCAATTCACCTCCACAAACATCACCAGTTCCACCGATTCCGCCACTACCCACACCAATACCACCTGCATCACCAGTACCACCATCCAAACCAGCACACCTCCTCACGGATTCACCACACTATCCTGACAATGGAGGATGGGAACCCAGTGAAGATGAAAAACTTGCGGCCTTTAAACTCAACAAACGATCTCGCCCCAGTTGGAAATACATAGCAAAAGCACTCAACAAAACACCTTTTGACTGCAAAGGTCGATGGCAAGTCTTGAAAATTCTTTATACACCTCAACAGCCAGACAGTCCAGAAGCAGAAGCATCATCACCACACAAGGCATCTCAACAAGCAGAGGCAACTCAACAAGCAGAGGCAACTCCTCCAGCCACAAAAGATGCCAGTACGATGACTACAGAACCTCCGGATCTGACTGACAAAGAGACATAGAATACACAACAGCAGTCTATGATCGTCCAGACAGTGCTTTCCCCGACTTCTTGGCGCTGAAGAACATCCCGAACTATTGATGCCTTTGTATTGTATTTTATTGTCAATTCGTACATACTTCCACATTGGCTTATTGCCCCAGCAGTTGCGAGCAATAGACTCCAACCCACAACACACCATTACAGCTTTCTTCCACACGCGCAGCAAAAACAAGATCGGTCGCCAGCAGTGCACAGTTTGCTTGAACACTTGCCACACACGACAAACTCTCGACCACTGAAGCATCGCCAATACTGTGTACAGTCCAGTTTATTCCGTCTAATTCATCGTTTCATTGCATCCATACGAATCACTATTGAATGGTCTCCCTATTGTTGAACCGGATGAACTTTTCGTTCTCAAGTTTTTTCTTTTGAGTGATTTTGACCGCTTTTACGTCTCCATTTTGATGTATTTGCAGCTCGGCTAGTTCAACTTAGCTCAGCCTTTCTTTCTTGTACAGTCTTTTTCTCGACGACGACATCGCGATGGATTCAGATCCTGTTGGGACAGCCCTCGTTGCCTTGGATGCCCAGATCATTTCACAACTGCGAGATACAAACATTCAGATCAACCGGCTGATGGTCCTTCAACTCAATCGACTACATGATACTATTCGACAGCTACACTCAGCAGAATCCGACACCAGCACCCCCGACCCACGTCTACCAGGAAGAATCCAACAGCTCCAAACATTGTTGCCCTCGCTCAAAGCAACCGTGGAGCATCAACAGACTTTTTACCACCAATGTCTCAGATTACAACACATACCAACCACTCTTCAACACCAAGTTTTACGATTGGCC